AATTATTCTTGGCAGCTGCTTTCAAAGGCCCCTGGAATAGTTAATATCTGGGGCTGTATGGGTCGGAGCCGAGTGGCCCTTTGTGCCTTACTAGGGCATAGTTGAGGTGAGTGGGGAAACCACTGCGGCTATTGATCTCAGCCTGTTCACCTCTCCGAAAGAATAATAACAAGCTGCTCGCCTGCTGTCTTTATGGCACTTGGCTTCTCTGCGTTTTAATAAGCGGTTTGGCTATAGTCGCAGCTCTGACGCACATGCACAAAAATACCGTTGCAGTGGCGTCTGGTGATGGTTTTGACTCAGAGCGTCTTTTTTCCCTCTTACTTTCCCCTCCTCCAAAAGGGAAGTGTGTTTCTCATAAAGAAACATGCCAAAACTTAGATCCCTGGCTCTTTGAAATAGCTTATGGGTGGTGAACCATAGACTGCTGCTTTAATTGTCAGTCCATTTTTTTCCAGGTCTGATTCTTTGATTGTGACCGATTGCACAAAAGAATTGCTCATAGGCACAACCTCATTAGTTATCAAAGATTACATTATTAAATGCTTTATGCTACATCAGTCCATTAAAGTCAAAGTGGTTTTTTTTTTTTAAATGTCTCAAGCAGTAATTCTTTAAGAGGTGTCCAGGGACACCCAGGGTTTTCTCTGGGACTTCAGAGGGTCCTTGAAGTGGTTCCAGCCTTTTTATAAAAAGTGATAAATAAATCTAATCGTGATTGTAGTTTTAGTCTGAAGTTGAGTTATTCGTAAGTAGACATAATATGACACGTCTCTCTGTGAACTCCAGTTCACTGATTTGTAATGTACTCTCTGCTTTTGTCATGAAATCTTCAATATACAGTAGGTCTGTGTCAAATCCTTTTGTACTCTTTCACACTTTGATTGTAAATGAGGCATTTCTGATCAAACCTTTTGTTATATAACATTTCTGTACTGCTCAACAGTAATATCTCAATTTGCCTCAACCTAATGACAGCATGAGGCCAGAAGAGGGCAGACAAGCTGCACCAGACAGAAGGGAGAGGACTTTGATCCCCGGCCAAGAAAAGAGAGGGAAAAACCCTTTTAATACTATTACGTGAGGAAACTCATCAATTCCTGAGAGCAATCTGAGCAAGCTGATGTTACCAAGCAATTTCTATCCAGCCACAGCCATGAGGAAAACTGTAAATTTTTCAAGTTTGAATTGTCCTCCATTAAAGTAATGGGCTTCTAAAAGAGAGACACGTTAAACTGTTGCCTTTCACAGGCACAAGAGCACGTATTTCAGAAGTTATTGAAGTGTTGGTAATTTATCGATACCCGTGAAGGTGTCAGAGAGTTTAAACACAATACTCTGCACAGTCTGCACTCAGTGGACAATAAAGGACAGGATTTATGAACGGGAAGAGGATCAGTCTTTAGCTGCTGATATTTCTCATGCTGACAGAACATGTTTTGAGAGGAATTAATCAGCGTTTGACTGTGTTGTTTTGTTGGACTTGCCCTCCAACCCAGCAGTGTTTCATAAACTAGTACACACTAAAACTGCACAGAAACAACCACATAACTCGGGGTGGAGGGAATGAGGTCAACTGTGTTTGGCATCAGTGTTTAAGCCACAATCCCCTTTTCTCTAAACTTCTACTTGTGCTGAGGGGGTTTATGTTTTTAGCTTTTGTTTGGGTTATGGAGGTATGACAGACAGCTGTGGACCTTTGTGAGGCTGTTATTAGGACCTGACTTGTTCTGCAGCTGCTGTAGTTCTACTTGAGCTAGTTATCCTTAATTCTTACAAGAGGCTTTATTTTCTTTATATCACACCCACTGAAGAAATACAGAGGCTGATAATTGTGCAGAAATTTACATAATGAAGGGCACAAATAAGTCAAACAAGTGGCAACCCCTGATGTCGGATTATAAAATCAATGTGGAAATGTGAGAAAACTGCAGTTCCTCAGGTGTTCAATTTAGGCTGGCCCCAAAACCCTAGAGACCACATATACACCTGTTTCAAAAGCCCAAGTTAGAAATTAGGTCAAGATAGCATTTTCAATATGATGACCACCATAGATTGGTCTCAGAGCACATTCCTAGGAACCAATGGGCAACATCACAGAGACTACACGTGTCTTTTATAATACTGTGTGTGTGGTGAACAGAGGAAAACAGTCTGTTTTGAGAGCAAAGGGGAAGAATGCAACAATAATGCAAACCTGAACTGGACAGTCACCTTATGATGGTGTGGATTCACTGAAGTAGATACCTACATACATACAAGTGCAACTTATTCATTGTTGTTTCTTGATACCAACTCTAATCTTGCTCCTCTAAACAGTTGGGAAACTTTATTCTTGACTGGGAGATCTTTCTCAGAAAGTGCTGTTTAAACCAAAATGTAGCCAGATGACAGTCCATTGGTTCCAAAATTGATTAAATTCAGGAGCAACAGATCTTAAACCGTAACACAAAGTGGTAGCTTCCTGAAAATGTCCACCTCAGACTCAAGGTGCAACCAAAAAAACTTGCTAAGGGTAATTCCACATTAGGATGTCCACAGAATTAGGTTTGACAATGTGATTTTTGATCTCACATGATCTTTTGGCCCTTGGGGGGGGATTTTCTGTGTAATATGCAGACAAGGCCCATAGCAGCTCTCTTTAGTACATCAGCCAGTGTCTGGGCTGACATCATTGTTCCGTTTCAACACAAATTAGTTTAGACCGACAAGACAGCAGTCACAGTTCATATCAGCCTCTCTCTTGGTCTGGTGGTGTATCCTTACACAGGCATCATTATCTCACATAAACAGGGGAAATGTAAGACCGCCGGGGGAACAAAACGACATTCAAGGCAACAAAGCTAAGAGGCTGAGTGAAAAGATCCTGAGTGGTGACGCCCTCATTTAGTGTCAATTAAAGAAAACAACAAGCAGAGCGGCTTGTGAAGGCTGCTGGGTCCAAAGTGTTTATTTATACTGAGGCAAATATGTATGACTGAAGGACTGCATGCATCCCAGGCTGTTTGAATCACAAAAACATGGAGAGGGAACAAGGGTTAGAAAAATGTCCCTCACATTGAGATGTACTTGAGTTTCACACAATGCTCTCCCCTCTTCTCTCTCTATCTCTTTATGTCCCTCTGTCTCTCCCCCTCTTTCACAAATAGAGGCTCCACTGTGCAGCTTTGCTCTCAGTCCCTTTCGTATGCAGTGCAGGGGCCCCGATGAGAGCCTTCCCTTGGCTCTCCAACTAAATAGAGAGGATGGTGTTATCAGGATGCTGCCAGGAGGTTGTCAGCTCTTATTGGGCTGGGCTGACCGAGTGGCCGTTTGGCGGATGCGTGTCGATGCCAGGCTCCCAGCGCCTTCCCATGTGGACATCTGCTGCATGTGGAAAAAGCAGTGGAGTTTGTCTGTGGTTGCATCTTAATCCTCCATCCCTACAGCTCCAGCCATGCCTGGCCGTGCAAACCAGCAGCTCTGCTCCCCTTGCTTGTATTAATTGCCCTTGCCTGGCTCGCTGTTTGCTTCTGATTACACTCATTAATTTCAATTCCCCAGGAAGCCACCACCATCGTAGCTACATTTAGACAAGCACACACTTCTATATACACACATGATCTCATTACCACATACATGCATGGACAAGTATATTTATATTGCATTATATGCATTTAATGAACAATGAAAGATGTTGTTTGTGTATATTTCATAGTGATAGTGTGCTTGTCTCATCTGCTGAGCCCACATGATACAATAGTATTGGTTAGAAATGAGTCAAAAGAGCAATACAAAATAACTGAATGTCAGTGATTATAATCTCGATTCCCTTTAAGATCACCAAACAATCAGATTCGTCTGTCTCTTAGTTTGTCACTGATAGTAGATTGTTGGCCTGTTATTCATTATCTAAGTAATATTAATGTAATTTTGAGCCTGTGCAGGAGGAACAGCTTTCATATATGTTGTTTGTTGCTGGTTTCATGTTTCTAGTTTCCTGTGATCATATGCACTGATGCAAACCCTCCCTCTGTTTCATCACCTGCCAGCCATTTGTATGTCATCAGCAGCTGTGATGTGCGCCTGCTCTATTTCTCAGCTGGCCTCTCTCTGCAAGACAGGGGACAAGAAGAAAGTAGCTCTGACCTGCTGATCATAAGTCAGTGTCTTCATCCCAGCAGGTGGACCACATCTGGTAAAGCACCCACATCTGGGCCTGCAGGGTGGCCTTGTTATTATAGCAGTGGGGTAGACTGAGATTACTCAGACAAATCTATCTCAGAGCATATTATTACCTCTGACTCGTTGTGTTAATAAGCAAACACAAATTTAGCATAATCAGCTAAACTTGTGGTAAAAATTTATGAGAGTCTCAGATTTGAAAAAAAAAAACTCCTTGATGAACAAACATCGGAAAATATGAGTCAAATAATCCAGGAAATAACAGACAGTTAAAGTATTTACAAAAGAAAAAACAGCATTTGATCCAGGTTAAAACGTCACCATCTGGTGTGTATGGATCTACAGGGCACAGCATCACCCAGTGTTTCATCAGCTTATGGTGTTTCATGCCTTTTAAGTTAATAATAAGGTACCAAGTAAAGCTGCTAACTCTCTTCAGCAGCCACTAAGTGAACCTGAGGGCCAGTAAAACCCTCCAATAATACTAGACTGTGTGGCCTCTCGCCTCCTGTCACCCTATCACCTTAAAACCTGGATTTTCTGGGGAGAAAGCAGGGCTTCTGGACTGACTCATTGGACAGCTGTACCTTAAAAGGCCTCATGGGGGCGTCGCCTTCAGGGTCATGGCCCTGGGCTGTGATTTGATGGCCAGGCACAAATAAAAACCTCTGAAGCTTGACAACTTCCTCGCCAAGCCCACCTAACCCAATTAGTGCAGCAGTCCTCAGTCGGAGAAAATGAAAACATTCCTGACTCAAATTCCCGGGACAGTCATTGTCGTTTATTAAATCTCCCCCTTGTTTCACCCTCTTCCTGAAAATATCCAACACTTTCTTTCAGGGCTCGCAGAAGAACGACTCAACGATTCAGTGTAACACCAGCTCGTCGCATATGTACTGTAATCGTGGTCTCACTGAATCCTCCACACAAGCTGTCCTTGGATCATTCTGTGAGTAAATCCCTCGGTATCTTAAAAGAACAGCCTGATAATGGCTGCAGATTGCCTCAGCTCTGTAGGTATGAGAAGCTTACATTACCTGCTACATTATCTAGGCAGCCAAAGATGCTGGAGGGAGAAAGTAAAGAATAGGGAAGACTCCAGCAGAAGGTCATATTGATTGATAAAGCACCCTGTGGACTGGACTCTGGATTGTTCACCCCCCATAGTGTGTTTGTTGTGGGATACCAGACAGCTGCCTGAAGGCCCCGACAAACACAGACAGGCAGAGAAAGACGGTGAAATCAATGATGGTCTCCTACTGAGCTCCGATAGGTTCTTCCCAATCATCTAAAGTGGCTCCCTTGGCACTTTTACTTGCACCTCCACTGAAAGAAATAGCATGATTTGTTAAAGACACTTGAGTTCAGGGCAGAAAGGCAAGCACACTCTGCACTAAAGCAGCAATCAATGACTGAAGGAAGATACATCTCTTTCAAGAAAAGAGAACCCTGGCATTAAAAAGTAACTCAAGACCAAAATACTATAAATTCCAGCCTGTGAAGGATGGAGATGGGTAAGCATGTGTGTGAGAAAGGCTACATTTGCCTATTGAGACCAGGCCCAGCCCCTGGTGTTTCCTCTCTCCCTCGTGGACTTCTGACAGAGCCAGATAGGCCTCCTCACTGCTGACAGCCAAATGTCCTCATCCATCCTCATCCGAGAGGCCTGCAGGCATCATCAACCCCATCTTGATTTCCCCGTACGAAACCCCACACCAGAAATCTTGTGCCATGGAGCCCAGCAGAGCCATGGAGCCCGGAGCATCTCAGTGGCGTCTCTGTCAATATGTCATCATCGTCATAGCTGCCAGTTGGCAGCATCGTAACCCGCTGCAGATGTGTCAGCAAAAACAGCCTTCATTCTATTATTATTTCTTTCCACTGAGTGTCCATTGTAGGATATAAACCTCCTTCGAATTCATAGTGAGGACCATAATTCAAGCAGCCCATGATATTCTCCCCATTGCTGTGATGGAGAGGTATTTGGGACAATGAACAGACCCATGAGGGAGCATTTGTTTTGTGTGGGGGTAGGTGGGAGGGGCGCATCAGATGGGTAGAGCTGTATGAGCAGACTTCAGCCCTTGTATAGGCCAACCTAGCTGTGCTGACAATACAACTTTAACTGATGTGGAGGATAAACCAACTATCTTATAGGATAATACACTCTCAGAATAAATGTTGCGCAAGTAAGTGTTTTATCAGTTTTATCTTCTGTGTTGATCCTCAGGTTGGACTATGGAGAAATACTTCATAAGGGTCCTTTTTGCCACAAAAAAGACAGAGTTTCTGAAAAGCTCGAAAGAAACCATCACAGAGGTACTGAAGCTATAACACTGGTGCCTTTAAGCAATGTTCTGACTGTGCCTCCAGTACACTTATTTTACCTTAACGTCGCCATCTGACCTGAACAGCCAACTGCTGCAGTATGCTACAATAAAGCACAACAGTCACAACTCACAAAACCGGCCAATATTTATTAATTGAGACCACATAGTAGACTGTAAATATGAGTCACTTTGCTAAAAGCCAGAAAATCACAGCAATAATACAGCCATTTGGAAAACAGAATCATTCTCAGTGGAACATTTCTGGGCTTCATATCATCAGACTTGAGATGGTAATTGTCTGTAGTGCATTTAGTGAGGGTCACAGAGGTAGCAGAGAAGATAAAGGAAAATAGGAGAAGCACAAGAAGAATAAGTACAGGCAGACTTTTCCCTACAGAGTCTCTGGCAGCATGTGCCTTTCTAACAAATGACAGGAAATTGCAACTTTGCAGCTATTGCTGTAATTTAATTCTGCGTGTCGAGGAGGGGAGCAGAACAAGTCTGCACATGTCAGCTTGACCTTCCTAAGACTATAACATGATGCTCTACTATCAGGGGACATGGCAACTTTGAGATTTCATTTCAGTAGCAAAAACTAGAAAGGCAGAGATTCTTATCATATATGTTACATACAATCCGCTTTGTAAATACTGAGGTACTTTTTACTTCTTCTAATATGTTGAAAAAAAATAACTTTCCTCTTTTTCTAGAACATTTCACTGTGTTAATACAGTGGGTGAATCCTTCGTTCAATGGCAGGATGTTAAACACTCAATTGAAAATCATGTTTTTCTGGTTGTCTATATGTTTAAATGGCATTTTCTGATGCTAGAGGACACATCATGGGAAAACTAAGAGCAAAATTGCATTTCTGAGTATTTCCGCATTCAAATCACCATGAACCTCTGGCAGAACCAAATGGCAGATTTAGGCATACTTGGATTTTCTACGTCACAAGTCCAGGCTCTGCCCCCATACCCTTAGAAGACCCTGCCAGACCCTGAGAAGTAGATAGGAAGGTGGCAGAACAAGTGAGTGCGTTAGCTGATTGCAATGCCAAATAGAAATCTAATTAGGATATTAACTTTCATCATGCCCCTAAAGACATTAGTTGAATTAATTAGAAGTAGTTGAATTAGTAGAAGTAGCAGGCAACATTCAAGCTGAACAGCTCCTATGTTACCTGCTACTTCTGCCACACCAGCAATGTTAGGCTACAAGCAAGTGTGAAAAGGAATGTGCAGAACAGTGCTGTCCCGCCCATGACTAAGAGGCAAATTGCTAATGATCTACTAGAGCTCTGCAGAAGAAAAGCCCTTTAAAATAACACAAGTAATGTGATTTTAGCTATAAACTACATAATCATATATGAAGCTTATTGGAGTGGGACTTAAAAGTGTTTAGAATAAGTGTTTCCTCCTTAACAGTTCAATGACCACTGCCCATTCATACTTTTTATTGTTGTATGGTTCTATATCAGCCTGTACGTAAGGCTATAGCCAGAACCCTAAAATGCTTTTCAAATCAAGAACAGTCATATAGGTCTGCATATTGTTGTTGACATTTACATGTAGTTAATAGACAAGTCCCATGTAGCTCAGATTGGAAGTATGTCATTTGATGACATGCATTAGTATAAAGTCAATGGGAAATTACACACATTAGTCAGCATACCCTTTGAGCATATCGTAGGTTATACATTAGTATGTGGGTTTGGAAATAAATTACGAGACTATCAATAATTTATTTAACAAGTTAACATCACGCTAACAATGAAAAAAACAATATACTCGTATATAATGCAGAGAGGTACTCTGCAGTGGTCACCATACTGGCAACATGCAGTCAGTCTACCAGAGACAGGCTTTTAGCCTCCACACAAATATCTACATTGTACCCGCCCAGCCATGGCTCTGATTTACCAGGCTTGTAATCTTTATCACTTGGAAACTAATGCGTTACAAAATAATTAATTTTCCAAACAGTTGGTGTTGTGAAAGCCCTGAGCTATTCAGGCCAAACCTGTTTTTTGAACCAGGCTGTGTAATAAATGTAGCGTTTTGTTCTCGTGTGTATGTGGTTTCAGGTCTTTCTGCAGTCAGCCTCAGGTGGACACTTGGGGAACTGCAATTTGTGGCACTTGTGCATTGGCTTTATTCCTTAAAGCCTGAGGTTACCTTTCGGTCTGTCCATACCCCACAGATATCAGTGCTTCCTTAGGAAGAGCTTAACCCCACACCAGTAGTCAGAAGGATGGAGAAAACAGAGAATATCAGAGCATCACAACTGCATAGAAACTGCATGTTGTTTAACACTTATGCTGTTTAACACCAAAGTGCAACCTCTTTTTCCTCTGGAAAAAAACAAAAAACAGACTGTGTCTGCTATACTGCTGCAATTTATTTGTATTCATCTAGAAATTCAAGGGATGGCAATGGTCAAACAGTAACTTACACAGGACTGGGAACATTTCTGATAACAGACAACTTATCTGACATTATCTCCAAAATGTTTGTTCCTGACTTGACCAACACGTTCTCTTGCAGAGGATTGTGTTTGCATTGAGATCAGCACACCGGTTCATTAGGTGAAACGTCTGCGGCTATATGTGAGGTGATGTGTAACCTTTGACCGAAGACTGTTTTTCATAGCTAGGTCATTCATCTTCATTTTCTCTGGGTGGTTACAGTGCAGTTGAGCTTTAATTCAAACAGCTGAGGTGTTTGGATAGCTTGCTCCATTGAGCTAAACACACCCAAGCTGTCTGAAATGACACCCATCAGTCAAACTTTGTTTCAATAAAGGATCAGGTTAAGTTCATGTAATCACTTACTGTAATTGAACTTTCAGGATCACATTCTTCAGCAGTGTAAAAATAAGGAAACAGGCTTGTCATGAATAACTCAAGAGAGCTGGAAAAAAAAAGAAGAAAAAAAAAAACTTTCCAAATCCTCCACTTCAGCAAAAAGAAGAATGAACTTCCACATAAAAGATGGCTCATATAAATGACTGTCTGTGTTAGGAGGAGAAGAAGCATTATTTGAAGTGTTTCTTTTTTTTCCCTTCAGTATGTCTGATAGAAAGTGAACTGTCCTTCCAGCGACTATAAATCTCAGGGTATTAACGTGGTGGAGGAGCATTCAAATCAGCTCATTCCCGCAGCAGTCGATGGCTAGCCTCTCAGGGACGCTGATTGACATTTTATACAGCGCCTGTAGTTTAGTGGTATTGATGGCATTCAATTTAACAGTATATTTTTTTAATAAGGGTGCTGCCAGATGCCTGGTGCTTCCAAAGTGCTCTTTCAGAGAGAGCGAGTTGAAGAGAAAGTGATTGAGACACAGAGAAGGTCAGAACTTCGTGTTGCGCTCTCTCTGAAGCAATTATCTTAAGATACTTGCCTTTTTTTGCAGGGCTGAGTAAACACATTGCTCTAAGAGTTTAACTTCTTTTACTGATTGGCTCAGTACTCCAGGACACTTATAATGAGACAATGACTGACTCTTTTTGTCAGGTGTAATTCAGAGGTGTCAAAGGCATTATCAGGTAGAGCAGAAAAAAATTAAATTACTGCATGATAAAATATTTCTTTTTTATAACACAAATAAGGAAATCCAAGTTGATAAGTTTGCAACCAAAAGAAACCAGTGAACCCATGGTAGCCCTATGGAGGTGTCAGCACCTTTGCTCTTGCTTGTTTCAGAGTGTCTTTTCCCCCCAGTTTGGATTTGTCTGCAAGTTTAGGGAAAAACTGAGCTGATGTCATGAGACTGATGTGATTGGTCTGAAATATGTTTATAATAAGACCTGAAATGTGTGAACACCTCAGATTGTACTCCTTATCGTTGTTGAATGTATTTTGATGTGATTTACAGTGTGTTCAGTGCCTCTGCATTGTTGAAGGACCATTACACATTTGCAGGAGGAATGCTACAGTAGTCAAAATTGGCAAAACCAGAGATCTGCTGATCTTTGCAGAGGTGGTTTATCAGGACAAAAATGCATATGGCAGTTCTTACTTGTGCAGCAGAGTCTGAGGGCTTTGATATTTTAAAGTCTGTTTGCATTGGACGGAATTAAGGTCTGAAAAATTTTGAGTACGGACATTTAAGGTGTTGAAAGTCAGCTTTGTCCTCTTCTCATATCAGGTTTTGGGTGCAGCAACTGTTTCTATTCATGTTTCATCAGTCAGGCTGCTTCCACAAGAATTAGGCTGCTGACTCTAAGCTCATAATGTCCACTTGTCCTTTCAAACAGATGGAATTATTATTATTTTTTTTCCTTTTTTTTCACTTGGGTCAAACACAAAGATCAGACTTTATTTCATATTTGTGCTGGGGCCTGTATCTGTAGGAAACAGCTCAGTAAAGAATGGGCTGCAGATGCTCCATATGTGAATGATGTCTCTGCTGTACAAATAACTAGCTTTGCTGGTCTGAATACTCATGGCCATTTTGCACACAGTATTGAGCCTAAGAGTTTTCAAAGAATATGACAGGGTCTTGTGTCCAAACAACAGAGAAAGGCTGCATTAATTTGTATGACATGCCATTGCCCTCTCCCCAGCCATCCCCTTTATGAATGCCATAGGGCATCCACTTAGTCTAGACACTCGACCACACAAGGCGACACTGGTTGCCCTAGTCTTAGACACTGCCATCTGTGCGTGCACGCTGCTGAGTCTGTGTACACCGAACCACTAACACGAAAGGAAAAAGAGATTCATGTGGCGCACACATGCACCACGTGGCTCTGACAGAAAGAGAACGAGTGTGAGACACACCAACACCCCCCCACCCCACCTCGCCTGTGGGTACAAGGAATCTGTGGCAGACAGTGTCACCCGCCCTGGCTACTGCTTTAATTAAAGCTCTAATGATAGGCTTTCAACTTATCATCACACATAATCGCTCGGCGCTAGTTAGCTCTGGCACAATTGCAACCATCTGCTCTGCTAAGAACACATTCTGATCATTCTTTTTATAGCGCCAGTAGTTCACTTACAGTATTTATATTAGGAGACCCCCATTATGTGACAGTCTGTTTAAATGTTGAACATTAATGGGGCACATCTGTGTTTGAGGCACTTAGTTTAGTAACACTGATGAACAACTAAAAGTCATCAGAAAAACTGGAATAAACTGTGTGACTTGATTTAGTGTTAATGTTTTTTAAAGAACCTATCAAAATTTTTTGTATTTTTATTACTTGATTCAGTATTTCTCCTGCTGCTGTTATCAATTTTTCATTGGGTGGATTTAGATGTCTTGTTCTGAAATCAGTTGATGCATTTTGGCACACAATATTTGAGTCAAAGAGAAGTGTTTGTAATTTAGGCCTTTTTCGCAGATCACTGCATTATCAAACACCGAAATTTACATCGAACATTTAATTATTTAGCAAAGATGGAAGAGTATTTTCAAACTTTAATTTGTCAAACTGATTTTAAACTTAGCACTTAGGGGTATATCAAATATTTTGTGCTGTATAAATAAAATTAGATCTTGACATGAAAGGGGGCTCCGGGTTGGGATTGAACGCCCGCTGGAGGAGGTCTGAGTATGTATGGCTCATACTGCCTGGCTAACTGTGCCTCATGATTGAGTTTTTTTAAAACATGAACTTTGTTTTATACCAGCTGTTTAAGATAGTTAAAAGTAAAATTTAACAAGTCAGCCTGCAGGATGTTTCAGCATCTATAAAACATAGACGTTTACATATTTTAATCCAAACACACACAATCAAGTTGATAAAGTGATCTGCCAAGTGTTCAGTTCATATGTCACTCTGACCAGATTTTTTTTCGACAGTTTGGATAGCACAAGTTACGTGGAATGTGATTTTTTCAAATCATGTTCTTTTAGGATATATAGGTTCAAAATCAGGCACAGGTCAACCAAAATAACTCATAATGATAACTGTAATACTTCTATGCTAAACCTATAATGTTTTTTAGCATTTCCCACTTTGTTGTGAGGTAAAAGCAAATATAAAATTGTAAACATAGCTCAAAGCTTCACAGCTATTTTTTATTGTTTAAAATCATGCATCATCAAAAACATCTTTTTCTCTTTCTCTCTCTATTCTGTTGTTGCAATATGATGAATTGTGATACCAAACAAAAATGATCTTTATTAACTTTTCTATTTGAGTTTTACAACCCCTGTCAATCAGCGCTGTTATTCTGTAAAACAAGAATAGGTCAACACGTAACCAACTATACACCAGCTAATGATACAGTGCTAGAAAGCAACAACATTCCCTGTGATAACACTACCAGACCAAGGGGGGCAGGGATCAGCTACAGCACATGAAACATGGGCTGTGTCTCATTTCAGCGAGCGCACCGTTGAACGGCACATTTTAAGTGTGCGTGATGTCATCAAGCGGAGTGAACGGTGTCCCATTTGTGCCCCATTTGTGCCCCTTGAAATGCTGAGTGCGCTTCAAATTCGAAACCACACTGCCCCCGCCCCTTTTTCAAGTGTGCATTTATGCTACTTTGGTGGCCTTGGTATCCCAGAATTCTTTGCGTGCTGCTGCACAGCTGCGCATTTCGGGTGAGTGGCCGGACTCACTTGGAGACGCAGCGCGTCTTCAAAGAAAATACAAGAAATCCAAAAACACAACTCAGCTCAGGCTGAGCGCATGATCTCATAACTCACTAAAATCTGCAGCTGCAAATCAAACATTATACTCTTTAGAGACCAACTAATCCGCTCTGCTACCACAATCAAAAACATTAGAAATAAGGGAGCTGACAAAAGCGGGTCATTCAGAGAGATTTTGTGGTTTTTCAAGAAACAATCCAACTGATGATCAACATTTGTGATCCAGAGGGAGTCGAGCTCCGACGAGCACCACGTCTCTGACACCGGCGGTAACCTACACCTGCAGAGACACCAACACCTTATTATGGCATATGGATTCATATCATAAACTAAAGCTCAATGTTATTCACGGATATTCACGGCTGCATTGATGGATTTATCCACAGCATATCCATATCTGCCTCCACAAACGCAGCGATTTTCTCCGAGTCCACCTGTTTGATTTCCGTGAAAAAGACACATTTCTCATATATTCTTTTTAAGTCTTTATACTTATGACAATGTAATGCTGATGTGCCAAAGGTTGAAGTATCTGCTTGTTTGTCAAACCTATACTGAAGCAGTTTCTTAAAATGCTTCATGGCCCTAATTTTAACAACTCTCCTTTGAAATAACAGGTAACCTTAGGACTTTATTCTAATAAATTAATGACTTTATTCTCGTAAATTTACGACTTAATTCTCTATATGGCCCTCATAGTCTTTCATTCAAAACATGAAATCATTGGATGAATTTTGTGGTAATGATCTGTGCTTGTATGTATCTATTGTCTGTGCTAGGTCGTACAATTAAAAAATAACTGTTGCGCTCCGCAGCTTTTCTTTAAGTCAGTCGTGACGCAAGCCTGAGGGCGGGGACATTTGGCAACTCAACCAGGAAGTCCTCCGAACAGTAGTCCGTCCCATTTCACAATAACCGGACCATCTCACTCAGGGTACTCAAGTCCACAAAACGGCAGTGCGCTCAGCTAAGTGCGCTTGAGCGCTCTCAGCCTGATGTGGTCTCTGAAATGAGACACAGCCATGGTACACACAGCTGCAGTAGAATCAGGGATGTTACCACAGATATCCACCACTCAGAAGGAAAACAAACTGAGATGCTTATTGAGGAAAAAAGAAAGAAAATCCAGAAAAGAGGAAGCCCTATTTTTGCTATTGGACACTACCTGAATATTGGTTGTTTGATCTTGAGGGGAATAAAAGCGGCAGTGAAGTGGACTTTGAAATAAATATGCAGTGTTGCTCTGTGAAGCATTCTCTCCAGCATGGTAACTACAACTATTATATCACATAAACCAATTTTGATGATAGCACTTTTTTCTCAATTTTACAATTTCAAGCAAAATCAAAAAGCAATTGAGTTTTTGTTTCATGCAGAGAACAATTAGGTGTATTTTTTGTGAATAAACCTGGGGTCAAATACAGAGCACTTAGGGATTATTTACTAGCTGGGAGACGCAGCCACAGTCTCGCTGACAGACAAACTGCACCCTGAGAGCTGATGTAATCCTCCTCCATGTTGGGAGCCTCAAAAGCTCTGCTGATAGAAAAAGTTTTGGCACAGTGAAGTGATGAGAACAGCTTGCCTCCACTGATGTAAATCCTGTCTGTGTTTACTGAGGCTTCCTAATCAAAGGAAGGAGGGAGAGATGGATAGTCGCAGGGAGGACGTGAAATGAACAGGAAGCTGCAGATCTGCACAGCTGAGTCACTGTATGTGTGTGCTGTGGGGTTAATAGAGTGAGTATGTGTAGGGGTCTAATGTGGGGGGTCTAATGGCCCGTATAGAGATTTTAATGGTTTGGTTTTTCATGCCATTCTGAATTCATATTAGGGCAGGTCACTTGCCGAGCACTTAAGTATGCCTGTGTATGTATTAAGGCTTTAATTTTGCTGGCTGCCGCCTACATTAGAGTTCTTTGATGGTGAGATGAACCACCTTTTTTTATTCTCATTGTTTATCTTTATTTTTACATTGGTCTGGTCTCCTTCAAGTTCACCCTGTGGCACACCACTTCCTTCTTCTTCTTCTTCTTTCTTCTCTTTCTATCTCCTGCCTGCAGCTTAAAGTGAACAGAGGATGACACGAATAACAAAAGGTTTACTGTCGGCAGTGTTTGACAACCTTTCCCTCCGGTGCTCTTTAATCATTCATGCTTCATTAACTGGCTATCTGTTATCACTCTGCATCACACTTTGGAAGAGGATGAGAGGTGGAGAGCTGTGTGGCAACAATCCATTTCCCTCATACAAAATGTGGCCTTTTATTTTTCTAAGTAGGCAAACTTAGGGACCTGAGGTCTTTACTTTACAGGGTTACTATCGGACATAGAGGGTACATTCTTTATCATTGGATAGTAACAAGAGAAAATTGTTCACGATTCTTTATTGAGCAGTAAAGAACAGTAAAGGAGGTTTCCTGCACTGCCTTCTTAATAGGCTCTGTAAAAAGCTTTTGGGTGCTGTAAGGAAGCAATTAAAACTCAGACTGCAAAGTTCAGGTCTTTAGCACTGTGTCAGACCAAACACACTCAATATTTCTGTAATTGTTTTGATTAATAATTTGGTGACTTGTGTATTTCACATGTGGTCATTTCATTTGTGTCATTTTTTTCAAACATACCTCCCAGGTTAGAAGTCAGGTTAGGTGACAACTAGAGTTTAACTCCTGGAAAAACTCAATTAGCCTAACTTATTCATGAAGAAGCTTTATTTGAATCGAGCCCCAGTCTAAATCCACACAACTATACAGTGTACTGTGTTTTGCTCAGCTACTGTAAGCTCCTGAGAGCCCTGCAATCCAGCAATAAAACATAAGAAACTCTGAGACACACACCTCAGCTCCTGGTGCAGGCCCTTGTAATATCACACATTGACTGGTGCAACTCCTTACTGGCAGGCCTCCCTGCATTCACAGTCAAACCTTTGCAGATGATCCAAAATGCAGCAGTCTGCTACAACAGCTCATGTCAGTCCTTGGTTCATCTCTGCTGGCTTCCAGTAGCACACCTGCATCAAATATACTGCTCTACTTATTACCTACAACACTACAACTAAATATCCTCTAGTCTACCTGCAGTCCCTTATGCAAGTCTACAATCCTTCCCATCTGTTATGCTCTAAAGAAAGGTGCCGTTTCCTTGTGAACTCACGTTGGTAATGCAGTAAACTCAGGGCTCGACAGTGCGAATGTTTCACTCGCATTTGCGACTAAAAATAGTTGTGTGCGAATTGTAAAATATATTTAGGGGCACATATGTGCTTAAAAACATATGCAATGAATGTTTTTTTCATGGAAACACCGCAGCAAAGTTAGTTTTAGGTTGGATATTCAACTGACATGCACACCTGATCTACCAGTGTCTTCTCACTCTCCATAACTGGGAATGGCAAGAGCAGCATGGTTAAATCTACTCGGCATCCTCGCTGTTAATGTCAAGTGTTGAATAAGGGACCATCAATAAATTACCTCTGATGTTCTCAAAAAAAAGGCTGTTTTCCTTCAATAGCTTCCATATCATGTGACCAATTAACCTAAAATTGATTTCAAATAATAGTACTAAGGTCGGACGATAAGACATGCTTTTTATTTTCCTCATTTGTCCTCTAAATTTCTTTTTTGTTAGATTTAAAGGCAAATTTTGAACTTTTTTTTTCAAAAGCTTCCATGTCATGTTACAAATTGACCTAAAATTGATTTAAAAAAAATTGTACTTATATTGACCAATAAGACACACATTATTTAATCAATTTTTCTTGTTCCCCTAAAGTTCTGTGTGTGCTCCTTACTTTTTCAACTGCACATGTGCTCCTTCTGAAAAAAGTTAGTGTCAAGCACTGAAACTCCAGGATGCTTTTGAGTCAAGTCTCCAGGGCTGTCTTCAAGCACACTTGCTCAAGTCAAGGATGAGGCTAAAAAGGCTATATCTGTTCAGGGAATAGCTAATAAAAGTATTAATTAAGGGAAAAAATGCCATCCGGCTTTGACCCTCTCTGAGTCATCATAAGGGTTTGGTTATAGTTAAAAAGACACAGTGACCTCAAAGCGCTTTGCACTGGACTACTATGTAGACCCTCCAGGAATCTGCAGAAAAAAAAACAACCTAAAATTTCCAGTTCTGAAGCAAACATATTTTTTCATGTCATAATAAAGAAAATAATATCTTTTGAAATGAATTGCAAAACCAATACACTATGAAACTATCTTATAAATCATCAATCAACATCAATATTCTCTTTGTCCCCCTTGGGCAGATTTATTTGCAGCAACTTCAAAAAAGAATATAGTGCATATTATACTGTCACAAAATGGAGCAACAGTCAGATAATAAATGTAAACAAATACAAGTGCAGAATATTTCACCAAACCATCATGGGTGATGGCTTAGGAATACAAATGCCTGGAGCTGTGATTCTCACACAAAAATATATATAGCTTTGCTGCTGGCGTCTGAAGATTTGTCAGAGAAAGCGCTCCATTTTGAGTGTCCCTGGAGCTGCTTGCTGTCGCTCATCATACGCTGTGTTTTTTACTCCATTAAAAATATGCCATCCGCTCTACAGCCCGCCTTTCCATCTGGGATCCTCCTCACACACGCACCAGATCACACAAGCAACCAGGCGATGCCAAACCTTTCTGCATTCGGCTGTGAGTTCCCGTTCCTGTGTATCTGACCCATCTATCTGACCATGTCATCGAGCGGCCAGGATGAAAACTACATGTAAAATATAATATTCTGCACCTCACCTCGTATTACATGGACTACTTTAATTTCCACGGAGGACTCTGAAATCTGCGATAATTTCCGCGATCACGGAATCGCAGATTCCTGGAGGGTCTAACTATGGTATATAGACTGACTTGTTAACAAATTAAAGATTTAAAGATTAAAAAGAGCATAGCGTGACTTGTCAGTATTAACTAGGTTGTAGTCATAAACACAGATGAGCACAGGTCTCCTCTAAAGCTCAATGTGATGGTGTCCAGCCAGTGTGCTATTTATTCCTGGACTTGTTGTTTTAATTCATTGGAGAATAAATCGTCCTTGAATGATGTAATCGACTTGAAAAATTGTTTATGCCTCTCTTGCACTTCTTGCGCTTGACTCTCCTTTGACCATTAATGACTGTGAAGCTCAGATATAAATGTGGGTCTGCTTATGAGCCATGACATACATTACAAGCATCGGTCTTCAAGGCTGCCGCTTAACCAATGTATCATGACAGGCAATTGACTCTGTGTGATCTCTCCTTTTCCTCTGGCTGAACCGTAGAGATATGATCAGAGCTGGGCTGCAGATGTGTGCCTGGGAAGTGGTGGCAGTCCACTGGAGTTAAAATGTGCCCCCGAGAGAAGGAAGTGTAGTTTTTTATCAGATGGAAAGATCAGAGGAGACGAATAATTCAGTTATCACATCTGCAGTGATTACAGGGACAGGACGCAGTCTGCAGATAAGGATCTGAGGACTTCTTAGAGACTCAGCGCAGTTATTCGGAAACTGAAAAACCCACATCTCAACACAGCAGTGCACAGCGTCCTCCTTTCGCTGTGTCATCGGTCTCTTTTTATCTCACCTTGCTGAATCTGTTTCATCTTTTCTCATTTTGTCTCATCGGTTTGTCAGGAGTCATCTCATTAATGAAGCAGTGAACTTGCAGGAGACGTCCTGCTGCTGTTTCATCTGCTCTTATTTTATCTCACCCTGACTTATCTTAAGTTGTCGTCTCTCATCTTGTCTGACTTAGTGTGGGCATGGATTTGTTTCATGACCCTGTGCGCTCCCTCTTCTTGGTTTCAGGTAGTTTGAGCAGAAAGCAAATAAGTGCTGCAGTGTCTTTCCTGGCTTTAACACTTAAGAAGTTATGCACTTGTGTTAAGCAAGTTCACAAACACCACCTCATCTCATTTGTTCTTATTTTACTGATTCATTTTTATATGTTAGTAATGTTTTTGTTTGTCTTAATTTGAGGGCAAACTTTTTCAACTAAGCTTATCTAATTTTCCTTCTCACAGATGAATCACCATATTTTCAAGAGGGTCCAAACACAAAATGTACAATTCAATATGGATGACAAACACATAAAAAGATGCTCATGCATCCACGCACCCATGTACGTGCTATGGACAACTTGGTTCCGCCTTCCGCCAGTGTATGAATTTGAAGCCAAAAAGCTCTCGGTATTACCAGGTTTTTTCTCCACTTCCTGAAACCAACATTGTGCAGTAACGTTGTATGCAATATCTGCAAAGACATTTATGGGCAGTAGCAACTAGGTAAGAATTAGTCTTCTTGTTTGATATGTGGGTAGCCAAAATAACTTCCTTTGACAACATTTGACTTAGGAGACTTCTAGGTCAATCCAGAAGCCCTATCCTATTGGTGGAATGATGGTAGCCTTAAACGACATGATGGTGCCTCACAAGAACCCCATTTGTCAAATTTTGAAAATCAAATCATGTCATCTTGAACCTTGTTTTACTCTAGATATCCCTTGGTTGCATTTTGATTCCTACCCCCCCACCAAAACCCTCAAACATGTTTTTTTTTTGTTGTTGTTGTTCTTATTTTGCCTTATGATGTATTTCCTGTTTCTCTCTGATCTCGTCATCTCATCGCCTTATGTAAGTCAATCACCTGGTTCCACTCTAGTTTAAAAGTAGTCCCCTTCTCTCATGTCATCTCATCACAGCTCTTTCAGTGACTTTTATTCACTTTTTGCTGTTGCGTTTGGTTTGTCTTGGGTTGTCTTGGATTCTCTTGCATTTTTTCCCATTAATTTTCTTCTGCGATGTCTTTAGTTACATGTCCTAACAGGAATCCTTTTTAGTGGGGCGAGATAAACCATAAAGCATATATCTTTCATCTGGGCAGAAACTGCTTTGGATGTTTTCACAGACCAATCATTTATTTAGTGTTTATCTACTTCAGTCTGACATGAAGACTTACGAACCTTATTAAAATCCAGTAAATAAAATCTGGAAAACTGATGTCATTAAAATTCTTTCAAACTTAGATCGTCTCTCTCTGTATATATTTCAATGTTGATTCAAGGTTTTGCTTGATACCGTACCAAATTAAAAGGCAGCCAGCCACGGTCTGTTAAGCATTATAGACTGTGAATGCAAACTGTGACACTGTTATAAAGACAGGTTTACATCAAGAGATATGAACAGTTCCGTGCTCTCTCTCTCTCTCTCTCTCTCTCTCGCTCGCACGCACACACACACACACACACACACAGAGGCACACATTATCATCTCTTTCTACTTGTTGAGACCTCCAATCTTTCAATCATATCCTTCATGTAAATCACCTTCTTTTGTTGGAGCCACCTGGGACCAATGTGACAAACTGTCTCACTTTCTTTATCGCAGTAATTAGCTGCCTCCTCTGTCCGACTGCTGGCTAACACACACACACGCACGCATGCACACACACACACACACACACACACACACACACACACTGGAAAGAGTAAATTCCTCTCCTTTCTTTCTCATTTTCCTTTTTCTGTTTCTTGTACAGCTCACACTTGTCAGCCTGGTCATTATCCTGTCATGTTGGCTTGCCAGAGCTCATCACAAACGGCCAAATTACTGCTGAGACAGATGACACAGTGTTAGTGCCTACATGTGCATGTGTGCTTGTGTGTGTTTGTTTATGTTGGTCTTTCTTTATAGCAGTCACTGCCTCTGCTTTAACTGGAATTTGGATTGAAATCTGAACTTTTTGTCTTGAAGCCTGTCAAGTCAACAGGAAAGGAATGCTTTGACCGAAACTTCAAAACGTTTTTCTGCAGCACTCCCTTAAATTCAACATCATTGCAAAAAATAGGAACATTTGCTATGTTCTTTTAATTCAGGTGGCAAAGTTACTCATTAAAGAGCATAGAGGTTGTTTTTTTCGGACACAGGCTGATCTTTGGTTCCTACTCTTACATCACTACGTCTGCACAGCTGCAGTTACCTCAGCTTTTTAAGAATGCTGTTTTGACATTTTTCCTCCTAATTTAATGTTTACTAGTGCCTTGTCTAGTTTAAGGTTTAATTCGTACGCATATGTTGCCTTAATAAGATTATAAAGCATCTTGAAAAAATATTTAGCAAAACTTTTTAGAGAATTTTTTTATGATTTAAATCTGCTTGAAAGTTTTGCTCACATCTTTTTTAGTGTTTATCTACTTCAGTCTGACATGAAGACTTACGAACACTTATTAAGCATGAGATTTTCAGATCAGGGTGAACTAACAGCTTATCTAAAATTAGGGCTCCCCCTGGTTTATAAGGACATGTTTGCTTGCAGGGCTGCCACTAGGAGCCTTTAAAGACCGATGCTAAATCCCCACCAGTTGCTCATGTCCTGACATATAACAGATGTTGACCTTTACAAGGCACAAGAAAGAGAGGTCCTCCCAATGGCATGAGTACATTTATTATTCATAATTATCATGAAACACAAATATTATGATACCACACAGGGAGTTGTCTGTCCTTTCAAAACAAACCCAAGTGAATTTCACAAACCTTCGAGTTCTGGCTGCAGCAAGTGATAAGAACTTTGTAAAATGTTTCCATGAGCAGAAAGAGCCTGTCTTAGAGATCCAAAAATGTAAAAATCCTATTTTCGATGAAAGAACATCTGCTTCATTTTAAACTGAAATTAGAAGTTCAGATTTGTTGTTGCATCCATTTGTACATAAATAACTAGAGTTTTTTACTCTTTACAGACGTCACAGACAAAGGAGCCTGGAGCGATGGGCATAGGGCATAATGGGGGATGCAGTTTAGGACCAAGACATAGTTGTTTTCATCATGACACATGCTCTTTCAAACCCAACTCACTGCACCCCTGTAGAGTAGGAAAGCCTTACCTGTGCTTAATCTGTCAGTGTGAACAGGGAGTTTCTGCAGCCAGAGTCCACCTCTCTGTGAAATTTCCCTGGATAAATAAAGTTTATGTTTTTTGGCGGTAATACAGACATCAGAGCTTCTCAGGAAGACAAGCAGTTGGATTTATGGCACGGGGATGAAGTCTGTGGACACATATTAAAAAAAAAAAAGAAAAAAAGAAGGACAGAGCACAGCCAAACATATGGTTTGGCTCTGACTAAGTACTCCAGATGGGGGCTGAACACACAGATGGCACACCTACTGTCAGGTAGGTAAAGGTTGATTGTCAAATATAGAGTGTTTGAATACTGGAGAGACAGCTGGCTGTCATGGCAAGGAAATTTAGCTGTGTACTGTAATAATTCAAGCTAACGAGGGACAACTGTGTTCCCTAAAGATGTTTTTATATGCAATGGTAATTCATGTATATATATATATATATATATATATATATATATATGAGGAAAGAAGGATACACAGAAAGAGAAACTGCAAAATGCCTAAAGGTGTTTAACAAAGGAGTCCACCACACTGAAGAGACGAGAGGAACCTGTAAGTTATCATGACAGAAAAAGACCTGGACGAAAGAGAGTTACTACAAAATCAGAGGATAAACATAGCATTGTCACCAGTAAGAGAGATCGGCACCAAAAATAAGGGAGGAAATCAACATGACAAGGTCGAAACCCATATCTCTGACAACTGTGAAATGACGTTTGAGAAAGGCTGGTCTGAAGGGTTGTGTATCTGCAAAAAAACACTACTTCGTCCACAGAACAAGAAAAAGAGATATGAGTGGGCAAAAGCTCACAAAAATTGGACTTATGAGAAACAAGTTGTTGTTTGGTTCAAAACGCAGAGTCTATGTCCGCAGACAAACTGGTGAATGTCTGAAAGCACCATGTGTTACACCACAATTCAGCATGGAGGTGGTAGTTCATGGTATGGGGATGTTTATCAGGTGATGGAGTAGGAGATTTGTTTGAAGTAAAGGGTATCATGAAGAAGGAACAGTACCACTCCATCCTCCAGCACCATGCTGTTCCATCTGGACTCAGACTTGTGGCTCATAAGTTTGTTTTGCAGCAAGACAATGACCCTAAGCTCTCTGCCAAGCTCTGTCAGGGTTACCTAGACAAAAAAGAAGAGGGAGGTGTTCTTCAAAAGATGGTTTGGCCCCCTCAGTCTCCAGACCTTTCTGAATTGAGCTTGTGCTGGATGAATTGGATTGATCGGTCAGAAAAACACGTCCCACGAATCAGCAGTCTCTTTTTAATGAAATTAAGAAAGCTTGGAATGCAATCCCTGGAACATACCTTAAAAAAACTTGGAATGAATGCCTGGTATATGCCGAGCTTTTGTTAAAGCCAGAGGAGGTTACTTTAAAGAAAGCAAAGTCTAAGCAACAATAACTCAAATACCTAATAATTATAGTCAAAATGTCTTCTGATAAGTTACTCTTTACACAATAGTCATGTTTATTGTGTTGCAAATTATATGAAACTATGATTTTTTTTTGTACAAATCTGATCTTGCTTCCAAACTTTTGGATATATATATATATATATATATATATATATATATATATATATATATATATGTATCTGCCATGTCAAGGTAAAACACTGTTTTCCTGGAGAATTTTGAAGACTGTAACATGTCTCTGTGCAGTGTTGTAATGCATGGAGTAATAAAAGCCTACTGAATGTTGAAATAAAATTAAAAAAATAAATACAATTATAATCCGTGTCCTATATAACATTAACCCATTCAGCTATTGTCCATGTAGATGACTGTACCCTCAAAATTTTTCCATTCTTTTGTGGTGTTATCTGCTGCATGCATACAGCTGGCTTACTAACTTTGTAATCTAAGTCTGTATAAAATAAACCAGAAATTGAGATTCTGGAAAAAAAGAAATCCTGATGCTTTCAAGATGGACAAAGTTTTACTTAAAGTTTGATGGAGAATTTCAGTTTTTATTTATTTATATGTTTGACAAGTATAATGACTCTGTGACATCCTGCATGCTAAATTTTTCAACAGTGTTTCACTATGGCCAGTTAATTAATATAAATAAGCTGTTAATTTCACAACACTAATGAAGTTGTTGTTGTTTTTTATGTCGCCAGCTGGACCCCATGAATTACAACAACCTATCCTGAATAAAGACTGTGCAGCTCTAATGTAATATATTTTTTTGTTGTTGTAGTTTTTTTACTACCCTTTATAGCTTTAATTTTGCAAGATATGCTTTTCCCCATTCTCTGCATCTTTAGAGCTCACATAAATATTTACAAACCCCCTGCCTGGTTTTCATTAGGGGGGTTAAATCCTCATGCTGCTGACCTGATCAACCCATTCAGATCATGAGGCAGTGAGAAAACACAAACACACTAAAGCTAATGATGCATAAGTATTCCCTCACTCAGGGGCACTGAACCTGCAATATTTTAAACATCTATTAAAACAAAAACAAACAAAATCCAAATCTGGATTATATGATTGAGGACTTTGTCGTGTCAGGGTGGAAATAGGCACCGAGGAATCTGGTCAGCAGTTTCTGTGTAGGCCCTTCTAGAATTTCTGCTGCTACCGGCTATCAAACAGTCTGAGAAAGTTTAGACTAAAATATTGACTTAAACTTGATGAAAACTGAGATCCACTGACTAAATCTTGACTTAAATAACAAAGGACAGAAAGACCAAAATCAACCACTGTTTACTGAAAATGTTCAAGACTAAAACTCAATTTAAAACCTTTAAAAATTAATGAACAGCTGCATTTAAAGAAGGGGGTATTCTGCATTTTTGTCAAACTATACTTCTTTTCTGATTCCTCTGTAATATCTTTACATGATATTATGGAGACCGAACATTACAACTTTGCATTTTTTGTTGTTAATGAGGAAAAGCAAAGTACCACCCCTTAAACATCACAGATGAGTTACTCATCTATTTTCTTTTTTGTTTGGACTGATGGAGCAGCTGAGAACTCAGCACATTCTTTATATGTCAAGTAACAAAAAAGTGAAGGCAAAAGTACAAAGTTGATCACTTATCCAAACAACTTCCATTTAAACATGCAGATACAAAATCTATCAGTCTGGATTTGAAAAGCTTTAAAAACAGACACTGGCATCTGCGGAGCATGTTTGTATTTATACACTTCTGTATCAATGAAGCAAAAATGTTGGATATGTCTGCACTCACAAGAAAAAAAAATCTAAATGTAATTATGACCTGGATTTCTTTGCAAATGCTACTTACCAGCTGGAAACTGCTGATGTGACTCTGACATGACATGAGAGGTGCAGCAGCTGAACTCCACAGCAGGCTCAAAAGCTGTGATGAGTTGTGATGAGAAGCTCCGTTTCTTTGGGACAGTCCAGCCGGTGATCTGTGGTGAATATTTGCTGTGGAGAACATAGAGAAAGGCTGTTTTGGCAGTTTCTCTGTGATTGTTTTAGGCACCTCCTGGCAGGCATAAAAATATTAAACGGGGGGTTTGAAGATTCATCCATCTGAAACGGTAACTGACTTGAGGGCTGATTATTTGAGTGAATTAGTCAGTGGTGCCCTAAATCAGTAAAATATGTTGAGAATGAGCAAATAGCCTGTTTCACTGAGGTTTTGTCTCAGTAGTTTGATAGTTAGCTGATAAGGAACTAATGACAAAATATCCAACTGACACATTTATTCACATGCTCTGCTTAATAAATCAAGTAATGTATACTTGATAAGAAGTCTTTCAAAAAGTCTGTCTGTCAGTATTCATTGCAGAAAAGCAGCTAATCACAATGCCAAGGGCAGTGAGACAAACCTCAATTGGTAAGAAACCAGGGCAGAACCTGTGCCAGAAGCACTTTCTACACCAATAACCTGTCAAAATCTCTGGTTACATTGGCTTCTGTTGTCTGTTACATTTCTGGAGCCTATATAGTTGGCAGTAATGACTCTGTATCATGCTGATTAATTTAGTCAGGGTTAGTATAAACTTTGTACAGTAAATAGCATCTCCTTGAATGCATGCAATAAATGTTTATGAAAATAATAGAAAAGTTTAACAAGAACTGTCAAATGGAGAGCCGGTAACAACCAATGCTTGAGTGTCATAGACAGTTTTCAGTGACAGTCGCAGCAAAATCACGAGAAGAAAAACAGATGATTGGATGTGTTTTTTATTCTTACTCAAAAACAACATCTGACCATTGATATAACATGATGACAAAATGACCTATAAAGCTGTTTTTTCCCCTCATCAGTGACAGTTCAGATAAGACGTATTTGTCACTGTCCATCAGATTAAACAATTATAACTGATGTCTATTCTGCCTCTTAACAAGTTATTCATAACTGGATGAGAGACTATAAGTGAGGATTTAGATCTGATCATGTTGTAAAGGAGAGATGCACTAATATTCTTGTTGGCTAGAGGTATCAGTCTTGATTTCAGTCTGTTTCATTACTGACTAAAACTCCTGACAGGTACTTTAAGGAAGAAATAATTCTGTATTTGGTAACTACCCATATTCTACTAGTCTATGCATGAGCATCAGGGTCAAACATATGCTTGTTTAAAGTGACAGCGAGCAGAAATGGGTAACCTGATTATTCCTCATTAGCATGGTAATTTAAGTTTGAGTCCTACAAGAAGCTGCCCCTGTTTTAAACTTCAGCTCTGAACCAAAGAAACTTGAACTTGACTTTTAAACACATCTGAAGTTACTAGACTTCTAGGCACAAACAAATAAGCTACTTAAACTCTTGCAGTAAAAATGTGGAAGATACGTTCAGTATCAACATTCTGTCAGACGTCCAGAAGAAAAACTTAATCCAGGCAGTGTTATACTTTGCCCTAAATGCTTCTTGCTAATGCAAATCAGCTGCATATGAAGGTAATTCGTGGGAGATAAAGGCTGGCCTGCAGCTTGTTCACACATGCCAGCCTCTTCTTGGCTGTCCTCATCTCTCTCTGCTCTACTCTCTCTCCCATATGTTTGGGTGTTTTGGTGTTTCTGTGATTGCAGCCGGCTACTGGCAGCCAAAACATGAAGTTGTCATCGCACTTACCACTCTCGTTAAAAACTAATGGAAAGAAATGAACTGTGCTCTCTCAAGTGGGTGACGGTGACAGTTGGTATGTTGACGGGCTGTGGGATTGGTTGAGGAGTGGGAGCACGCTGATGGGTGGGTGGTAGTGGGGTTTGGGTTTAATTATTGGGAGCTGCAGTCCAGCTTACCTGCGTGTTGGCTGCGCAGATTTGGGCCACCCTAGCTCGCTAAGTGAGTATTTGCACGCAAACTGGTGTTATCTGATCCACCTCAGTGTCAAGCGCTTCCATGAGTTTAAAAATTGAAGAGGGAGGAGGTTCTCTCGCGACTCTCTGCTGGCAGTTTGATTCAGATTTTATTATCCGTGCTTGGTTCTATAATAAGCAGAAACTGTCCTGTCCGATTAGGCACGCTCAGCGGCGCCCTCCACCCCCCCGACTTGTTCTTCCCCTCAAGACCCCCCCTTCCCCCCCATTCCAACGCCATAGTCTCTCTCTCCCTTGCTCTCTATCAGTCTGTCTGCTTGGGAAGACAGCAGGAGGAGAGCTGCTCCATATACTTAACCCATTACTTGCTGTATTTGCGATTGCTTTTATCTCATCAAACTGTAGGGCCTGCCCAGTCTTTTCTGCACCGGGCAAAGTTATGAGCTGCAATTTGAAAGTTTTGCTGTCTTCAGATTATTTTTACATCAAATAATATTGAGTAGGTGTCTAGACGGATCTTTTTTTCTCATCGACTGCACCTCTGTCTACTTTAACTAGTTAGGGATGACCCCCGATTGTGGACTTGGACTTGTTTCCTTTTGTAGAGCTGTAGCTTGTCAAACAATCCAAATATTAAACATGGTTGCAATCCATGAAATCAAAAGAAAAAAAGAAAGAAAAAAATTCAAAAGAAAAAAAAAAGAAAACTATATTCTGTGCTTAATCACAAATTCTGAGTAAGAGTAGAAAACAATCATCAAGAACTGGCCCCCTTTGCTTGGTCCCATGTGTTTGTCAGCCAGCAGGTGTCTTGGTAAGTCTGGCTGTTGTTCTATCGTCTCTAGATCTGCAGGAATATCATTAACCAATCAATCTGTAGCTAAAAGACCTCTGTAACAGAGCCTGTGTGCTGTGTCTTTAAATGAACTGTGTAATGACATTAAACAAAAATATGTCAGGCTTTATGAGCTCCTGCTGTTATGCACAAAAATTGCGAGGGGTTATTGAAAATATGATTATTTTAGCACTTTCCTCACTCAGCACTGTGTCGGAGTGAAGGCAACGAGAAACAAATCATTTAGTTGTTTTTCATTCAAGTGTGCTCTATAAACATGAAGTCCTGTTATATGCAAAGTGGTGATTTAGAACTTTTTGTTGTTTTAGAGTACAGCTGAATCATCCATGTGTTATTTCAAAGTCCGGTTGGGAGCTGAAAAGCTGAGCCATGATCCAACCCCTGAGTACAGACTGTCCAAACACAGTCTGTATTTTTGTATTTGCTTGTGTACTAAACCAGAGGAAAGCTATGTTTATGGCAGGTCAGTTCATGGAAGACAATCCCTTCCTGATGCAAGAAAAGAGTGATTACCAAACTATAACAATGGAGAAGCACACAAATCCAAAGACAGGCTTGTAAGCTGCAGACAGCCTTTGAAAATCAGAGCTGACAAAACCCAGCTGGGAACATTTCAAGGTGCTTTTTTTCTTCTAAATATACCCATAGGGCTCTATTTTTGTGTCTGCCGGGGACGCGGCGGAGGGTAGCGGACCCCGCGCAGTGGTATTTTCGTCTGGCGGAGCCCGGCCTACAGCCAGTTTGGTATTTTCGTAGACTGAGGCGCACCGAGGTCCGCTAAGTTGGGCGTGGTGGTGTGGCAGGGGGAAGTGTCAACAGAATCAGCTGGCGCAGTGACATTTTTGTGCTCACTGGTGGCATATAAAGTGCGCTGAAAGCTCGCCGATTCAAACCTGGTCAGCTCTCAGCGCAGGCGGAGCGCAGCTGGTCTAGTGGTATTTTGGTAGACCTGCGGCGTATCGGCATACGTCACTGATGCCTCACCGGTAGGTTTCCACAGTGTCAGGAACATTTCAGTGCAATAAATAAACAACAACTATTAATCTGAGTCAGCACATACATTTAGATCTATGTATATATTTTGATCTATATCTTATCTGATGAGCGCGTTTGGCACGTGTTTGGACACACAACCTGACCGAATCAACACAGCTGAAACCGCATTAAATTAAATTAAATATCTAGTAAATAAACACACATGATGAAGTTAACAAGATATTTAATTCGTCTCCCTCCTTTTCTTTCTTTCTCTTTCTCTTATTTCTCGCGCAGCTCGACCTGGACATGTCTCCGTGTCCTCTCCCCGTCCTGCTGCAGCTGCTGCTGAGTTATTTACTTTAAGCCTACATACGAATATTATAATATTCAGTTTTGTGAGCCAAATTTATTTTATATGCCAACATCTATGAAAGAAAGAGCCAGGCCACGGAGCGCTATGCATCATTTACTCACAGATGGATCTGATTTTAATGCCATTATTGGAATTTATGTTGTGATCTCTGCGCTCAACCCACCTTTGTCATGTGAGGTTTGAATATATGCAACTTTATGTGAGTGTCTTTATTTGTGGAAAGGGGTGTTTGTCTTACCACTGGGTCCAACATTACACACACTAAATCCCTCTGTGCTTATTTGAGACAGTGTGGAGGACGCCCAATGCAGCGCTTACAGCGACTTGCTGAGGAGCTGCCTTCTGTCGCCATCTTGTGGTATTACTGTCTTCAGACATCTCTTGATCTCTTTGACTACTTCACGAAAATTGTAATACGCCTCAACGGTGGCGGATTTAAAGGCGTGGAGAAGAGCTGATGTTATTGGTCAATACAGGTCTCGGCTGTGTTAAACCCACTCCACACCCTCTCTCCTCCCTCGCTACAACTTGCGCCGCTGGGAGGAGTTGAGTTAGGGCGGGGGGATACTTATGACGGGCTGCGCCACTCACCAAAAATATCAAATTGTGCTTGGGAACGCCTTGTCGACGCGGCGGACCTGACTTACGCTGCGCCTGTGCCACTTCTCCGGCGAAGCACGAAAATAGAGGCCATTATGTTTAAGGTCACTTTCTTTGAGACATTGCTCGAATTCAGTCTTACAGTCATTTTTTTGATCATATGCATGATCACAAAATAAAAATAAAAATAAATCACACTCCTGGAGATGTTTGAGATGTGTCCATCTGTGTTTGACACTAGGAAGCTGAAGAATATGTGCCGTGTATAAGTAGCCTGATGAAATAACTATAAGCTTGTGCCTTCTGCACCATGAGGCTGAACAGCCTTAGGCTTCAGGCAGACTGCTGCTGCTGATGATGATGTGGGGGAAACACACCAGGATGTATACATGCATGTATCTGTGGACTACACAACAGCCCCAAGCCCTCACAGCTGAACTCAACCGAACAGTGGGCAAAAATGTGCTTAAAAAATGAGACAACATATAAAGGAATTGACCTTCTACGCAGTTTGTTTATGTAATTTTTTTCTGGCACCATAAAATTGACCCAGGACTCATTTTCAGTAAATAGGACAAGCACTGCATATGCTGTCTGCACATTTTGTCGTTTTTCGGGGAGGGTGGGTTATGCAAGCCCCCATTCACTGCTAATTCCATCAAAGCATTGGGAGCAGTTCTAATTGGGCGTCTCTATTTTTGGTTGTCTTCCAGCCCTGTTTTGCTGCCTTTGAGTAAAGGCAGCGCAGCGAATGTAAAGCTGTGTGATAACAGGGCCATTCGCCACAGTACTGAGTTTGACCCTGCAACCAGCCTCCATGACGGATGTGAGATGATTCCTAGCCCTCCAGCTCAGCACGACACACTCAGCACAACTCAAATACACTCCCCAAATCTCTCCCTGTCTCTCTCTTTTTGCAACGTTCCCCGTCTTATTCTTCATCTCTCTCTTGCTCGCTCTTTCCCCTTGTCTGTCATTCTACAGATTCACTCTGTGCTGTACGCTGTCTATTTAAAGCCTGTGCCGTAACCACCCACTGCATCTTTAAGAAGTGGTGACTCACCTAAACAGATCAGCTTTGTCGACTCTATGTGTGAGTGTGTGTGTGTATGTTTGGATGCGCTTGTTATATCATCTCAGCTTTAGTTCTTCTTTGCCAGGGTCTTCTCTGTTTGGTGACAAGTGCAGCTGTTTTCAGACGATAGCACTTGTCTGTGCGTCAAACTGGAATCTGCAGGATCCTCAGATTAATGCAAACACAGACACTCACACACACTTGGACACAATCTGTGCACTTCATGTCACTGAGTTATATGCTATTCTGGGTGCATTCAGGGGATTTGCAGCTTAATGTGGAAGCAAATGAGCAAATTTGCATTTCCTCTACTTTGCTCAGTAATGAGACATATGTAAGTGACTATATAAGAGCAAAATGAAGTGCAGATGAAGGTTGTGTGCTCGAGAAGACCAGGTAACAAACAGAAGACTACATATGGCGTGTTCTGTATCTGTGGCAGGAGCTCCCAGGCAGCCAGCCTGAGCAGTTTTCACTGCCATGGTTTTGAGTTTCCCCCTCAGTTCTTTGCATTATTTAATAATCTCTGAATAATTCACAGACTTTCGTATCAAACAAATATTTTTTGCAACTTGCACCTACGCAAAGGTGAGGAGGGGCTGGATCATGATGTATGTAGTCCAAATGAGGGGTGGTGGTGTGATTAAGTGTTTATGTTTGTTAAGAATCTTCATACGTGTGAATTTGAACATCTTTAGCTCTGCTGAATGTGCCCTTGCTGTGAGCTTTTTTTCCCCCTTTATATACGGTTAAATTCATAGTATCAGTGTCGGATGTTGTACATCTCTAATTTTGACTTCAGGAAGCTCTATTCCATCACATACATGCAGTTTACATGCCTATAAACCATTGTTTATCACCCTGCTGTCTGTTTAGTCACCACTCTGACTCTTTGCAGCAGTTCTGTGAACTGTTAGTTTTTTAGCTGGTTGTGTTTCATTAAAGAAGTGAGGCATACAGAAAAAGTAAGACTTGGAAAGATCAGCTGATCTGATGCTGCATCTGCACCCCTTGTGGAAAAAGAAGTTCAGCTACATGGTGTGCATTGTTACAGTATGTTAGCCCTGTGAGGTGGAGACTTTCAGACCCTGACAGCAATGACGCTGTGCTGTCAAGGCAGGCACAAACTGGCTCATGCACTGACTGGTTAGTCATGCTTTGATGCACAGTTTAAAGAGGACTCCAGGAAGAAGGCTGAATGCGCATGTGCAAAATGTCTCTTTCTCTCTCTCAAACACACACACATACACGTATACGACAAATACACACTTTTTTTGTACGGAAGAACACACTGCTGCTGAGTGCTTAAAAGGAAAGCAGCAGCAGCAGCATTTGGTAGTCTGACATGAAACCCTGATCCTGTTTTTTTTTTCTTTCTCTGAGCTGACTTTAAAGCCATTTTCTTATGCAGTTACAGGAATCATAAACACTATGAAATTACACAGATCAAATAGTACCTGATGACCAGAGTCCCCTTTTTAAATAAAAAACTGCAGGCACCAATTTGAAGATATAAAGCTTTTCCTTTCATTTTGTTTTATTGGAGTACACTGTTTTATTCATCACTTAGCTTTTAAGATGAATTTTCTACAAAAAAAAAAATAGTGACTAAAACTGCAAATATGAAACCTTTGAGATTAAAAAAAATACAAAATAAAATAAAAAATAATCATTCAACATTTCATTTAGGAACAAAGGGGAAAAACGAAAAACACACTTTTGAGAGTGTCTCCTAGTGTGTGTGTGTGTGTGTGTGTGTGCGTGCGTATGTGTGTGTGTGTGTGGCCCTTCAATGAGGTCAGTTCATTTTCCTCTTTTCAAAACACTCATACAGAATGTGAAATTAGTTCATAAAGTTATAGATTTCTGCTTTTGGTAACTAAGGGTTATAAAACAGTAAATAGAGAAAAACTTCTTTTTTTAAATTAATTATATTTGTCAGAAAATTAGATAAAAAGAGATGGATTTGAAATAAAGATTAATTTTAGGGTTAATTTCAGATGTCTCATATCCACTGTGGGAACTTATAAATACAAATGGTTTTGTAGTTCATTTGTAAATTATACTGTAATCTTTTGATTAAAATAAGATAATGAATTTTTTACCCTATACTGAGTTAATTTAGATCACTTTAACCACCCGCTATAGTCCTCTATTTACTCAACATAACTTTTTTTGTATCTCAAAAACCTAAAAGTTATAACAACCACAGATTTATGCCAACAAACTGATGCACTTATTTTACATATTTGGAATTCATCATTATTAAAACTTGAAAAATGAGTAGAACAAAACAAAACAAAACAAAAAAGAAATACAGAAAGATATCACTTTTTTTCTGCTTCAAACATTTTTCTGTTGCTTTTATCCAAAGTATGTAAATTGTTCATCTGAAATTAGAGATTATTTGACGGCATGTTTTTTATTTTAATTTGACAGTTTTTTTGTCATAAATATGAATGATACATTATTTGACTGGAGTGTCATTTATTCTGTCAGAAACCGAAAACAGGAACTGTATATTGGGACTGAAATATGACAAAATAACTGAGCAGGGACTGTAAAAAGGACTTCATCATCACACCCTTTTTTCAAATGCAGACTGCTCTGGCTGAAGGCCAAATATTTGGCAGCAGAGCTCTGCACGTTCCATTTATTAGAAAGGTGCCGGCTCATTATTTAGCAGGACAGAGTGCCGGAAACACTCAACAGCTGCAGCTACTCCGACTTTACATGCAATAAAGTTTGCTGCCTCATGTGGGGGATCTCTCCCTCTTTTTGAAGCAGCCTTTTTTGGTCCATAATTTATACATTTACCTTACTTGCTTCTGCGTGCGTTGGCCTCCTGCATTTTTTAAAGGCCGGGTATTGAGGGATTTTCTGTCATGCTCTCTTGCTTTGTTCTGATCACGCAAGCTGCTGCCATCCCACATACAGGAACACTGGCAAACACGAAGTCATGCCACCTATGCGGAACACAAACACACATGTGCATTGACATGGAGGCACAGTGTCATACCATTTTACAGTCAGCACACACACACACACACACACACACACACACACACACACACACACACAGTTTGAGGGCCCACTTTCCTCATCTGAGTCTGCACAAACCGTCTCGTGCCATGGCGTGAGTGTTTTTACACAAACACACACCAATCTGAGCCATCCATGTGTGTCCAAGCAAGTGAAGGGGTGTTGAATCTTCCTCTCACACCCATGCATGCGGAAGGAGTCTACCTCCTGTGCTCCCCATGGAGGACACATGGCAGACAAAAATAGAGGAAAAAGGAGAGCCTGAAATGAACAGATTAGAAAAGCAATAGTTACTGGATAAAGTTTTACTATTTTCAAATCGCTGATCACACATACAAACAAAAACAAACACAGATTTATTATCACTTCAGTATCTAAAGGAGATCAAATTCACCTTAACCGCACACATTTGATTTTTCAAAATTTTCGTCCTGTACAATGATTTATTCATTTCATCATCATGTAAAGTTTAATATTTTTGTCATGTGTGGGTATAATTTTCGATATTCTTGTTTACAATAAAACTTTTTAACATGTGATAGGTAGCGATTTACTTTCATTTTACCCATCTCTGCTTGACTTAGCATCCAGCAGAGGCATTAAATGTGTGTAACTCAGTATCCATGATGTTGATCAGTCCAATGAAAGGTGGCTTTATAATAATAACAATTCTAATATAAATTTGGTGTGTGTTACTAGGTGTCATGAAATCTCATCAAACTCTTGAGGAAAAAAAAGAGAAAAAATGGAATTATAATCATAGTATTTTTGAGGCAGTTCATATTTATTTCTCATTAAAGAAAACTAAATGTGAAAATAAAAAAAGAACTTTTTACTTAAATATATGTATGTGAATGAAGACACACCAGGAAGATCATTTGTTTAAGAGTTTTACAGAGGCTCCATAACTGTAATTCTTCTCATGTTTTGGAATTTTTTAAATGTATTCCAATACACTGATATCCAAGTACCCCACTTCGTTTAGAAAGCATATTTAAAAAAACAATATAAGTAAACAAATAAATAAAAATCAATTTATCAGGATGAGGATATAAAACTACATATATATATATATATATATACACATACATTCATATATATATATATATATATATATATATATATATATATATATATATATATATGTATATATGAATGTACAACAACACTGAAAATAATTTTGAAAAAAAGACTTGAACACGTAAGCACATTAAGCTTGAAAAGCCATAAAAACACAAAAAATAATTCTGATAATAATAAAGCAACAAGAATAAAAATAAAAACAGCCTGAAATCACACACACCACCCAGCATACATGTGGGGTAAGGATTAAAAATATGTTTTTAAGGCCATGTTTGAAGACTTACTAGGACAGGGACTTGTTAATGTTGTACCACAATTCAGGGGCCTCTACAGAGAAGGCATGGTCCCCCCCGGTTCTAAGCCTTGTCTTAGGAACCACACGACACAGCTGTTAAGAAAGACCCTCAGTGAGTTTAGACTAACAGGGGGTCAGAGATGTACTTTGGTAATAATCCATTTGAATCTATAAAAACAAACACTGAAATACCAAGGGGGATTTTGAACACATTAGCAGTCATTTAATATACACATATACACTTGTTTAATATACACATATACAGTTATTTAATAAACACAGTCATTTAATATACACACACATATATATATATACAGTCATTTAATAAACACATATACAGTCATTTACAGTTTAATTAAATATAAAATATCAGTCAATAAAAAGTGCAGATTGTGGCTGTTACAACTTTAAAGGTAATTTAAAAAACAGACTGTAGTTTAAACATTTTCTGATGTAAATGTGCAAATTTTACTAAATTTGTCTTTCATAATCTATAGAATATGAAAAATACACAAGTTACTGTAATATAATTAATTTAAGTTAATTTAAGTACTGCATACTCACAATAAATAAGTTAATCAACTCTAGCTTATCTCAGTTTACAAAAATTACTTTTTTAAGGCAACGACTGCATATTTTTTTTCATTACTCAGCTTATTATATTCTACAGTGTATATACATTTCTTTCTTTATTTTTTTTTTAGATTTATCTGACCTTATATTATACATCTGACCCTACATTAAACATCCTACCATATATTATACATCCGACCCTATATTCATTAAAAAATGTAGTTGATAGATTACATTACTTAGCCAAAGAAAACTCTACTTGATTGTTTACTATTATTATTATTATCATTATTATTATTATTATTATCATTGTTTAACCCAAATTTCCTAAATATTAAGTATTTTAAATTATTTAATATCGGTTCTTTCTTTTTTTCCCCCTACCATCTTCAGATTTAGTGCAGGCTTCAGATCACAGATCTGATCCAAGAGGAAATAATTAAATCAAAGGCATGACTGAGATTCATCATTTTAATTTCTGAAGTTATCCATTAAAAGATAAACATGTCTTTTTTTTCTTACTCTCTAAAGTCCCTGACGAACAGTGATGCCCCCTCCTCATCTCCGGTCTTTCTCTCTCTCCCTCCTCCATGTGCTGTCATCTAGATTCCCTCCCTAACATGTAAATTTAGGTCAGGCCACAGTCTCCTCTCCGGGCTTCACAGGAAAATGTGGAAATGGATTGTTTCACACCACTTAATCTTATTGAGAGAGAGGGATGGAAAAGCGAAAACAACAGGGACTAATGTGGAGGACAAGGGGGGAGGAAGAGGACTGAGGAGGGGCATCATTACAAAAGAGAGATGGGGGGTGGAGAGGAGAGAGAGAGAAAAACTAGTCGAAGGTAAAGGAAGGACAGGATGGGGAAAAAAGAGGGGCGCAAAAGGAACCAGAGGACATGAGGAGTAAGGGGAGGAGAGGACAGAGGGATAGGCAGGAGACAACAACAGGAGGAGGAAGGAGGAGCAGAGAGGAAAATAAAAAATAAAGGACAGAGAGGAGGAGGAAGAGAGGAGACGAGGGGAGAAAAGAGAAGAAAGTAGTATGCCACTCGCGTCTCATCTCTGTTCTCTCTGCCAGCGTCACAGCTCCCAGTGCTGGCAGCTCGCAAACTAACAGACAGGCCATATGGCTTCATTATGAGACACACACACACACACACACACACACACACACACACACACACACACACACACACACACACACACACACACACACACACACACACACACACACACACAATAACAACAAGAACACCCTCAGTGAACTAATATCCACACACACTTTGAACATGCATTTGCACACACACTCACAGGAAAAGTCCTCGTGCACAGGTGCAAACACTTGCAGCAGGGAGAAGAGGAGGTGTGTGACGAATTGAATGAAAGCAGTGAAGAGGAGGATGTAATGGCACGTTGAGTTTTTCTACCTCCAGGGGCTCCAAGGGAGAGCAGAGCTGGCCCAATTACTGAGGCTTACATGGACACACACATACTCACAAACACACACATATGCATTTTAAACACTCAGTCACGCAAACCTATTATCAGCAATCTGAGAAATCTAGGGAGACGCAATCTTCATTACCAGATACATGGAAAGCAAATATTTGGAGAACAGAAGTTCAAATCACAGCCTTAACTTCTCCTGCTGTTTCAAATACAAACACACACGCACACATACGCACGCACACACACACACACACACACACACATCAAGTGGGCACCAGGGAGGAGCAGCTTTACCTACAGGCGTGGAGGTGTGATGGGATGAAGGTATTGGCTGGGTGGGCTGGACTGCTGTGTAAACCACTTGACACACACTATAGTAATTAGTGTCATGGTCCGGGGGATGGATGATCCTGGTCATGGATCCCCAGGAGCAGGGGGATAGTTCTCAATTGGGCCCCTCCCTGGGGGCTCCAGGGGTGTCCTCTTAGTGTTCTCCTGTTGACTGCTTGTGTTAAACAAGAAACAACTATAGTCCAGTTTGTAGGCTGAAGGAGAAACATTAACAGCCATGAAGGTGTAACCTTTGAAGGTGGAGTTATGACTGTTTTCAAAAAGTAGTGAAATGCAAATGTTTCTGCAACACCAATAATTACACACACACACACACACACACACACACACACACACACACACACACACACACACACACACACACACGATATGTTCAGGTTCACTGCCACTTAATAAATGCTTAAGAAATTAGCCTAAAAAAAAACATGCAAATGTGAATGTTCGTCTGTGAGCTGAAAGTCATTAAAGCATCATATACTTTACTGCACCTACTCTATCAAAGTCATCAGCACTGCTTGATATTTTATACTAGCACCCAGCAAAGCAAAATCTAACTATAACCTAACTAACTGCCCATATATTAGCAAACTATGATAATATGCACAATGAATCACTGTAAGCACACACAGCAACAGCAGAAATGCAATTTTAGCCACTGAACCATTGTTGTGATTCATTGATCAGGAAAATGTTGCTCTTCTTATGCTGTAACTGCGTTATTTGTTTGTTTACAAGTAAAGCTGTCTCAATATAATTTTTCACCTCACAATTACTGTGGCTGTAAAATATCATGATCATGATATTATCATTATATTTCTGGAGACTTTAAGAATAAAACACTACAATCAGTCAAATCAATACTTATCACTATCCATTTCTAATGATTTTCAAGTTTGTGATTTAACATCTCCAGTCCTGGGACTGAAACTTCTTTGGAGAACACATAACCCGTACAACTTTTGTTTGCAATACTTTTATTTTGATAATTTGTTTAGGTTGCTGTATTTCCTGTATAGTGAACTAGGCTTTTATTTTTAAGAATAAGCTAATTCCAGTAAATTTCAGATTTGATTGACAACAATTTAAGAACAGGTTAAAAAGTAATAATGTTCAATCAAAAGGAAGTCTGAGGAGACACTGGCTCTAATGTGTTTGTTTTTTATTACAGTACATGATTTAATTTCAGTATCTAAAGGTTTCTGATCATCGCTACAATTATAACAGTGAGAAAGTCTGGTTACCTTGGTGTTTGTCTGAGTTTATAAACGTGCTTTGTATTTAGCATTCAGAACCAGTTTGGCTCCAGATAACATGGAGTTTATTGTGAAACCTTCTTTCATGTAAAGGGTCACTATGCTGCCCCCAAAATGCATCTCTGGAGACCTTTGGGTGTCTCCAGACTGACAGTCACTGCTATAGATTCTACATAAACATGCTGACTCCATGTGCACTGAAAGCATACTGCACAAACAGCACTATGCAGAGTTTGGCTGACTTAATAAAAAAAAAAAAAAAGATTGCTCTGATGAGTTCCGCAAACAAGCCCTAAATTTAATACATTTTTAATTTTGAAAATTCTTATCGATGAGGAAATTTCATCAGGACCCTGTATAATGCATCTTTAACTATTTTTTTTAGGGACAGCTGCTGGGGGATTTTCACTGGCTCTGAGTTTTTATAGCTCCCTCTAGAGTCTGGGGAGATGTGCATTTTTCACTTGGGTGTTTATCGTTGAAAATGAATTACCCCTCACAGCCCAATTCCCTCTCATCTGACTCTTTTTTCTTTAGGGGGCGGAGGGTCTTTTAGCTTTTGTTAGATAGGACAGTGTGGGGAGAGAATGGGGGATAAAATACACCTAATCCTTTCCCAATCAGAAGTCAATCTTCCATTCAGTGTCATGAGAACCTAAGCTTCTGTACATGGGGTTACAGCTCTGCCAAGTACACTAAACCAGTACTTCTCTTCATCTGACTTCAACATTTCATGGAAAGATCATTACAACTAATGCATTTGCTTCCCACTCTGCCCCTTGTCTTGTCTGTGCGGACACACAGTGTTAATGATCTGTATACTTCATGGTGTTTTTAATAAGTATTGGATTGGTCTAAGGTGATTAACCACTGCTGTCTGTTATTGCTCTTTTCTAATCAGTTTATTTTAAAATTAGCAGGAGGACATAATGTTTTTAATAGATTTAACAGAGTCCTGCAGAGTAGCAGGCAGACATTTCTATCAGATGATGTGGTGAGTATGGATTTTTCTCTGGTTTCCCATTACAGTACACACCCCTGTATTGAGTTCAACCGAGCATGTCATCCTGGGAATCGTTGGCTATGCTGAATTGAAACCCCCTTTTTTAATTCATAAGACATTGTTTGGTACCAAGTCATGTGTTATTCTAATATAATGGCTTATTTTAATAGCTTAAAAACACATCAGCAAGACAGTTTGATGGTGCTGCTTTTAATTTACTCGGTGTTCCTGCCTGTGAGTGTAGTGGCCTGTGATACAATGAGGTTGCATTAAGCTCAGTGACATTTAAAAAATAAATTATAGAAAGACACAAACATGCACACACTACATCCAAGATGGTCTTTTAGGTCAGGCTTATATTTCCAAGGGTGGAAGTTAACTGAGAATGAGCACTCAGTTAGACAAAGTGTGTTGTAATCGATGTGTATGCACACATTATTTTGTACTCGTGTGATTCCCAAACTTTACATTCCTGTCTTCACAGTAGGGCCACACATTTTTTGGCTTTAAAACTGTTTTTACCCAAAAGCGTGCAAACTGAACCTTCTGTTTAATTGCTCTGTGTGTTGACAGTGGCAAATGCATTGGCGACCCCCTGTTCCTATTGTTCAGGTTAATTCGTCTGGGCCAAGTTATAGGAACAGATGAATTAAAACTGATGAAAAGAGAATGGAGCCCTGCAGTCTCGATCACCACTGGACGGGTGCTCTCATGGTTCGGGGCGGGAGGCGGTGCTTGTTGCCAGGATACTGGCCGGATCCAGTCTGGAGGTCCCGCTGTTTTATTGGACAACACGCTTGACCCTCTGGCAACCCCGAATTGGCCCCTGACCTGAGAAGTCACTCCTAATCAATGCAGCCATGCACACGCTGACTCAGGAAAAGACTGGTGCTGCCGACCTGCTGGTACAGACACAGAACACCGGGCGGCACCATGGATCAGTATCATGCAAAGTGACATCTGTAACCGTTTAAAATCACATTTGGCATAATTATGCTTTGATACGTTGTCATCAACATGACATGTGGCATCTGAAAAATGTGTTTTAAGTTCTGTACTCTGCTGAGGAGCTGGAACCAGCAAAACCAGAGGAAATGTACAGAAGTTTTGGGGTACAGTATGCGGCCCATATTTTCTACATCTTGCAAATATGCAGCCCTCATTTCTTTACAGTAACAGGTCGGCCTTTTAGTTAACTGTAGTAATTGATTTAAATTGCTAATTTTGGCGATAAAACAAGACAAAATCCTTCAAAGTAATGGACAGGACGAGGGCTAAACCTTTTATTTCTATTGTTTTGTTGTTCTCTAAGGTTAAGGCTGTCTCTGTGGTTAAGATTCCAACCACATGACAGCAATATCTTGGATTTTCTTTCATTAAGGGATCTCTGTTGCATGTCATACTCCTTTTACATGTCTTTATTTCACCAACATTAATGCCCAATGCCCTAAAAGAGTAATAAAAAAAGGCCAAATTACTAACACACTAAAAAAAAAATAAATGCCACAAAGCCAAGCAAACCCAAAGAATCAAAATAATTACTTTCCCCTTAAACACAAAGTTAATGTTGAGCTGACAGGATGATGATGTCAGTGATGCAGGATTGACAACTGCATACTCATAATTCAGCATACACCTCATATATTGCCGTCAATGCTCCCTCGCCATCTAGTCACAGGAAATAAATGACTGACAATTATAGTTTTGTAACACATAATTAATGAAATATCTTAAGTGTTTTCCTTGGATATGCACTTCTTGATGCCTTTAAAGACCACATATAGCGCAAATGTCTGCTGGGCGTGGCACACTCCACATAAAACCCTCTCTCCATCTGGCCCGTCACCTGTCTGTCAGCAAATACAAACCATGAGCTGATGCCGTGGATTTCTTCATTCTGTGGCCTGACATGAAGAGAAATAAGACGACACGCCTTGTGATCTCTCAGATTGCTTCAGAGGAGCCAGCTGTCTCAGACAGTTCAGGCTGGTGAGGCTGACGGCAGGCTGAGCTCTCAAACCAGAAACCAAGATTCTTAAAACTACATGGATAAGTATTGAGAGAAAAATAATTATTAAAACCTGTGGTCAAATAAATCCATTTTAACTTCGTAGATCTTGTATCTGCTCCTAAATCTTGTTTTTTTCTGATAATATTAACTTTGCACAACAGTATAAAAAATACCTTTCCCTGACTTATTTTAATTCAATAACTCCAGAAATCTTTCAAATTATTTGTCATGACTAAACTCAGGTAAAAACAACATTTTTGGCAGCTACTTGAAATTATGTGTGGTTAAAGCACTGTTCTAAGTACCTGTGCAGTCAGCTGATGGTTTCTGCTCTGCTCAGTCCAGACTGGGCCTGGCTGCTCTTTGTGCTGATGAAAGTTTGACAAATTGCTCCAAAAGTGTAGTTCATTTTTGCAAAGTCCTTATTTAGAACATCTTTGGTAGGCAGTCCACATCTTTGTACAGTTAATGCGAGGGTTTCAGAGTCATTACGGTCTTAATTTGATCCATATGTTTGCACACCAACCAGTCTAATTTCAGTCTAAATTTGACTTTTTCTGCTGACAGTTTAGAAGTTTTCATTTCACATTTACTCATCACCAGATAAGGCTGGTTTCAACACATTTGCACACGATTCTTCAGAGGATGTGATTCACATACAGTGCAGACATCTAGAGTCATTTTCTGGTGCGGTGGAAAACCTTTTTTGTTGTGGCTCGTCACTAATTATGGGATCTTTCCTGAGCCGGACAGGGTACTTTAGCACACAAAGAAGTTTCCAGCTATTGTGGCTGAAAATGCAGCACGCAGAATAACTGGAGAGGAGCTGGCAGAGATCCCCTGGCAGCAATCAAATCTGTTTGGATGAACACAACATGAGCCCAGTATGGACAACACCAAATGCTGCTCCGTATTAATGGCATATGTGGTAGTAGCGGCAAAGACTTTTCAAGTGGCCTGGTCAACATCCAGTTTTTTTTTCTGTGACCATGTGACATTACTTCTGCAAACACCAAGAGAGTGGTAAGAAGTGAACAAACCAAAAAATGGTGCCATAAAAAGGGAAGGTATAGAATAAATGAGACATTGAAAAGCAGCTAGCTCCTTTCATTTTCTTTGCACTTTAAAAGTCATAAAGAAAATACACAAAACTAAGCCCAAATCCTTTCATCACAGTTTTCGTCTCCTCTAATGTGAACACATTATAAATATACAGTGATTGATAAATGGTACGAAGTTAGCTGAGACAGCCTTTCTTCGCAGTGAAAAGAAAATCCCACTAATCTTTGGGAGATCAGGACTAGTTTTTGTGGCCCACTTATTCTTCCGTTTCCTGTAAGTAGATTTGAAACCCAAGCGTGGATATATATTCTGTTTGGGCAGACCTGTTATTGTAGGCTGATTTTTCCCCCAGCTATAATTTATCGGCATAAATCAGCAGGCCTATTGGAATGATTAGAAGGTTTGTCTTGGCCACTGAGGCTACAGAACCCACCCACCTTGCCAGCTAACCAATCTATTCACCTGACCACAACACCTCTGCTTACATAAATCTGTAGCAATGCTCCGCTTCTGCATGCCGGCTTTTGTGTGTGTGTGTGTGTGTGTGTGTGTGTGATTTCTTTGTTGGATTATTTATATTTGCATGTGTGTTTTTTGTGTTATGTGTGTGGAGAGTTAGTCTATGACCCAGTCCGTATTAAAACATTTCCTTTTAGAGACGGATAGGAGGGTTCCTGATCTGGGGCGTGCCACCAACATCCATCACAGCGGCGGTCTGGTTTCCTGGTGATTTAGGACTTACCGAAGCGGTCCAACTCGCTGCTGCACTCTGACCACAGCCCTTCCATCAGCCTCCCACCCCTGCGTCCTAATATCACTGCACAAACAACCAGGAGCGCAACCCATTTTTCTGCACCTCCCCATGAGTGTGAGGAACAAATCTGGCAGTGTAAAGTAGGAATAAAGAAATGTGTTGCACCAGTCTGATCAAGATACAATTATGCTATATTTTTAGTTAATATTTATTTTTTCAGGTTGTGGAGATTTTTTTCCCTTTTTGCAGGATATTTCCTCCTCAGGTTTATGCTAAAATAACATTTTTCATACGACTTTTTAACATTGTTTTTTTTATTTTTTTTATTTTTAAATAAGATCATTGTTGCGTTCATTTATATATTATCCATATCATGTATTTGTGTCTGCCTTTTCATTCACCTAATATTTTTTGTATGCAGTCCAAACACACTTTTCTTTTAAAACCAGAAAACACCACACAGCTTAAAATCTGATTGACAAATGTGCTGCAAATAGTCTGAATTATAAAATTAATGACACCATAAAACCTGTATTAGCACTGAGAGACCATCAGCAAAAGTCTGAGTATGAGTTTAGCTGTTATGTAAGAATGTTATTTAATTTCTGTATGAGTTTTCTCAGTTGAAGTTTGAGAGCATAATGTTTCACTTTCTCTCCTGAAGGGTTTCAATTGAGTTTGTTTCAAGTAATATCAGTATATTAAGAGTATAGTCAAGCCCTCTCCGGCTCTGGGCTTGAATTTTTTTTTTTTTTTGGAGTGCCGGCTGTCCATTTACACAAAGCGGATTTTGCATCAGCCAGCTTAGAAGTGAGGACTGCTTTGAAGTGCTCTAATCCTTCCTCTACCTTCAGACAACCTTTCCTGATCCTCTGCAGAGTCACAGTGCCAGCCAACTGCACCAGCCGGATGGTCCAAACCACTTACCATCACAGACACATACTTTCATGGAAGTATGCCTTTACTTCTGCAAAATAACACATTTGCCCGCAATATTATAAATGCATACAATAACCCATAACCCCTCAGTCATGCAGTACAGTGTATTAGCAGAGTGTACAGAAAAAGAGTTTCTCTCTGTACAGAAGTCAGAAATCAGAGTTTTCTTTCTTTTTCTGAGATAGTTGCATACCTATAAAAGTTCTGACAAACAAAGCTTTGTCTGCATGAACGTTTTCTTTATTTTTTCCTTTTCAGTAAGCTCCTTTAAAAAAACTCACTTTCAGGACCTGTCTTGTGACACCCTATGCCAGGGCCGGTCCTGTGGGGTGGCCCATATCCCTCCTTAAAATCTAACTGGCCACTCAAATAAAACACCCAGATCTGTGACTATGATTGGCTGACTGCTTTGGCATAGTTTGGGTTTAAAATCAGTTGTTTGGGATGTGTTGTGTTAGGTTGCTTGTTGTCTTCTTTGCATTTCGATGCTGCACACTACCACCAGTCAATTCCTGAGTAAACAGTCTGTTCCCACCCCTAACCACTGAGTCTGAGTGAACATTGAACTCTCTGTGCTCTGTGGCACATCACTAAAGGCCTAAAGGTCTAGTGTCCCAACAGATTAAATGTATAAACTTTACAAGTACAAGCTCTACCTTTCTCAGTCCGATAGTCATAAATTGTTGATTTTTATTCCTTTTGAGTTCAGTTTTGCAAAAGCAGCCTGTCCTGGCAGCAGTGTAGGGGCGGGATAAAAAAAAAAAGGAGGAATATGCTGATTTTCTTTTATCTATAAATGCGAACAAACACACAAAGTACCACAAATGTGTACACATCCATGTTTTTTTGTCAACCAACAGAAGCAGAAATCTTACATCAGATGCAGCTGAAGGCCTCAAATGCAGTCTGAGTGAAAGTCCTTCGCTCCATGAAAGAAGCAGAGCTGTCAGAGTGGGTGGCATAACCAAGTTGACAGCCTGCTGTGGGCTGCTGCTCTTTATTCGCCGCACAGAGATGAGCAGTTTTCAATTTCCTCCCTGCCGCATGCCTAAACCAACACACTGGTGAGACAACCTTTGACAACAAAGGTCCAACTTTTGTGAGTGAGAAAGATGATGAGCAATTTGATGAGCTGAGGGTTATCCAATGAAGATGACTGTTGTTGGTGGGTGGTCTGTGTCTCTGTGTACTCCTCTTAACCAATCCGCTACCAGATGGGGTCAGTAAAGTCTCACCAGCAGCACCCCTATTGGCCGGGGTGGTTCATAGGGCAAATGTGCTGAGAGCGGAGCAGCAACTATATAAACTAATAAAACCCGTCCTGTGCTGTGTGTGTTTGTGTGTGTGTGCGTGTGCGTGCGTGTGTGCGTGTGTTCTGGTCGATATATTTCAATCCAGCTGTTCAGTAATATTGTAGACTCATGAATAACCATGAATAACCTACATTCCTGTCTCTGTTGTGTGTGTGTGTGTGTGTGTGTGTGTGTGTGTGTGTGTGTGTGTGTGTGTGTGTGTCCTCATTGCCTACCCGATGCTGGAAGCAGACGGTGTATGTTGGCTGCCTCTCTCTCACTTCTCTGTGCGCCAGTTCTCCTTCTGAAAGGAATCTCAGGCTTTCAAGGCTCTTTTTGTGAACTGCTCATCAAAGTCTCCACAAACGCTCTACTGCTGTTTTTGAAGTCAGGATCCCTTTTTCACTTTGGATGAAATCTTCTTGTCATGGTTCTGTTTCTCCATCTCCTCATTTTTAAAAATCAAATGTGGAGCACTTCAATGCAAATCACAGTTTTTAAAAAGACAAAAATGCAAGAGATTGATTGATCCCAAAGTCTTTGGGTTGTCTTTATGTCATGTTTAAACCTTCATGCTGAAAGGAAATTGGAGTAACCTTCATGGTGACCCTGTGAGGATGTGAAAAACTTTTATGTTTATTTTTTTCTGTATTGTACTCAGGTTTAAAGGTGGGATAGGCAGGATCGGAAGAAGTGCCAGTTTTTGGGAGAAATCTTGAATGTAAACACTACCCCACCGGACCACTTTTCCCCTCAGCTCCTCCTCTCCCCTCCCTCTCTGCTCCAGCAAGCCCCGCCCATAAACAGACATGCCTGCTCACTTTTTGCCAATCATTTCAATTAAATTCAGATATAATGCAGATAAATACTTGAGCTAATTACCAATGGGGCCCAGTCAATTTGAAAGTAAAAAGCATTGGTGCGACTGTAGATGCCAACAGACTACCAGCAAACACAATGTTTGCAGGACTTCTACAACTAGGATAAAATGACATAGTCCCGGACCCGGGCTAAACAGTTTAGTGGCACTACAACACACAGCAGGTCCCGTTTGACAAGAAACACTTCTGTTACAGACACTTGCTTTACTTTGTTAAAGCAGTTTACCTTTCCTGCAGAAAGGTTACAGGGTCCGTAAGATCCCAAAGCCTTCCCTATCGTTTATGCTGATGTTGACCTGGCTTCTTAGCTCTTATCTGGTCTACCTATTTTTTAAGTGCCCATTATTCTGCCAGAGTCTCCAGTATTTACTTCATTTGGCTCTATTTTCGTGCCTCGCCGGAGACATGCCGCAGGCGTGGGACAAGTCAGGTCCGCCGCGCCGACAAGGCGTTCCCAAGCACAATTTGGTATTTTGGTGAGAGGCACAGCCCGGCGTAAGTATCCCCCCTCCCTATCTCAGCTCTTTCCAGCAGCGTAAGTCGTAGCGAGGGAGGAGAGAGGATTTAACACAGCCGAGACCTGTATTGACCAATAACATCAGCTCCTCTCCTCGCCTTTAAATCCACCACCGGCGAGGCGTATTACAATTTTCATGAAGTAGTCAAAGAGATCAAGAGATGTCTGAAGACAGTAATGCCACACGATGGCGACAGAAGGCAGCTTCTCAACAAGTGTCGCTGCAGAGGGCGTTCTCATATGAGCACAGATGGATTTGGTGTGTGTAATGTTGGACCCACTAGTAAGACAAACACCCTTTTCCACAAATAAAGACACTCATATAAAGTTGCACATATTTAAACCTCACGTGACAAAGGTGGGTTGTGCGCACAGATCACATCATAAATTCCAATAATGGCATTAAAATTGGAACCATCTGTGCGTAATGACGCATCACGCTCCGTGGTCTAGCTCTTTACCGTATTCGGCTTAAAGTAAATAACTCATCTGATCACTGAAACAAATCATCTGTTCAGCCGCTGCAGCAGGATGGGGAGAGGACACGGAGAGATGTCCAGGGGCCTCATGTATCAACGCTTGCGGCGCAAGAAAACCTTGCGTACGCCAAAATCGGTGCACACGTCCAGATTTATCATCGCGAAACGAGCGTTGGTTCCAGCGTTTATCAACGCAAAGTCAGGAGGTGGTGTAGAAATTGGCGTTGAGCCGATACTTACGTTGACTGTGATTCGCACTTTGGCGACGCTGTGTGACGGTGTTTGGTGACTCACTATGTGACAAGCGTGCACCACATCCCCGTGACCGAGCAGCACGTCGCCCCACATGACGAACCAGCAGCAGACGGAGGGATGCGAGCTGATCCCTGCCGGGCCGCCGTCCTCGCGCGGGAGAATCTCATCGCCACAGTGTGAATGGGTAAGAAGTGAATACACAGTTCAATGAGCCAAATTATTTTATTTTCTCCACCAGACGCTCGAGGACATTTACGAGCCGGTCCAGCCGCTCGTTGATCCCCGCGATCCCCCTGATGATTTCTTCCTGCGATTGCAGGACCCCCTCCGCGAGGACCCTTCCACTGCGTCCGGGTGGTCCAGCGGAAGCGCCAAGATCAGAATATATCTATATAGATCTAAATGTATGTGCTGACTCAGATTATTAGTTGTTGATGATTATTTATTGCACTGAAATGTGCCTGACACTGTGGAAACCTGCCGGTGAGTCATCAGTGACGTATGCTGATACGCCGCTGGTCTACCAAAATACCACTAAACCAGCTGCATTTCGCCTGTGCTGAAAGCTGACCAGGTTTGAATTGGTGAGCTTTCAGCGCACTTTATACGCCAGTGGCGAGCACGAAAATGTCACTGTGCCCGCCGATTCTGTCGACACCTCCCCCTGCCACGCCACCACGCCCAGCTTGGCGGATCTCGGTGCGCCTCAGTCCACGAAAATACCAAACTGGCTGTACGCCGGGCTCCGCCAGACGAAAATACAACTGTGCGGGGTCCGCCACCCTCCGCCGCCTCACCAGCGTACACGAAAATAGAGCCCATTGTCTTGCTTGTGTTGGTAATCATGGCCAAAGGAGGATTCAAACAATTTTCCGTACTTTCTGGTTGGTTTCTGCTGTCTGATAATGTAGCATGCTAACTTTGTTTGGGCTCGTGAAGGGGAGCCCCTTCAGGAGCTGCAGACACTGCAGGGGAGCAGCGTCTGCCTCACAACCAATCAGGTCGGGGAGGCAGACAATGGCTTTGTTTACAGTCAGAAAGAGCGGGCCACTCAAAGAATTTAAACTGTTGACTACACAGACATAACAAAACACAGCAATATCGTGATATTACCAAATGTCATCAGTAACAAATATTGACTGATATTCAAAGCTTTTTTTGTATATACACCACAGAACAAAAGATGCTTCTTTAACGGAATCCTGCCTACCCCCCCTTATCTCAAAATCTCACTATCTGCCTCTTTTTCAGGATTAGCTTTCATAAAACATTCAAACAAAGACATTAGTGTCATCTGAAAAGAAATGGGATAGCCAGGAAAAGTGACTGTTTTTAATTTTCAGTTTGTGACATATTTGTATCACAAATCCTCACCAGAACAGCACATTGGTATCTTTCTCCTAACTATTGTTTTCATAAAAAAGTTTGAATTCCCTCATCATTGTAGATTGAAATCAGTGCCAGTACAGGCCTCCCTCAGATCACAATCCCAGTTCTCCCCTCCAGCAGAAGAAAAGTCAAAACGGTTGAGTTTTCCCTTCCTTGCTGGGCTCTCTGATGATTTGGCCAGACAGCCAGTTGAAAATTGGAGAGTAAACATTTTGGGGCAGTAAAAAGGAAAACATTGGCAGAACAATTAGGAGCGATGGAACTAGTTTATCCCCACGAACACTCAGGCAGTAAGACGACACTTCCCCTCCTGTCGAAACACTGAAGACCGCTTTGTCATTCCTCTAATTGGATGTGAGTACATTATAACTGGGAGGGAATGATCCCACTCTTTGGCAGGAGTGAGTCTGGGTTCTTGTTCTATGGCAAATTACCTCTTATTGAATTAATTTCCTTTGAATTAAAGTTGGCGGCAAGATGGTGTATCTTCAAGTAGTATCACAGCAATGTTTGGACACAGAGGTGACAGTGGGTTGGGTAATTTCCTGCTTGCAAACAAAGAAGACAAAAACATATGAGGCTGATGCTTGTATTCACGAAACAACACCCCAAGGAAGTCATGATTTGGAGGCTTGCACTTAAGGGCAGGCCTTCTATGTCTGCACATTGAGGAGTATATACAACAATGTAAAGTGGTACAATGACATCAAGGCTGAATAAAAACAACATTTCTTTGAGGAACTTTCTCATCTTTCTTTACTTTAAATGTCTAATCTGCAACCCAAGCTCAACATTTCAGTTTCAACAACATGCTGTTAATCCTAGGCCTCTTCTGGGGCAGAGGTGACAGACATACTGTATAACATAACTGTATAGAAATAATCAATCTCATCCATGATGGTCTTTTCTCTTTTGTAGGTCATAAAGGGGCATCAGTATTGATTTCAGTCTGTTTCACTACTAACTGAAAACTCTTCACAGAAGCTTTAAAAGGCCAAATACATGCCTAAATAAAGGCCTTAGGACAGTGTCTGCCAAGTCTTACAAAGTTATGAAAACCATCTTAATTATACACTTAATTATTTCCTTTTGTCAAAAAAATTTACGGCAGTGTTTAAACAAGCTGGAGACCACTGAGTGTCTCAATACAGCAGAAGCTGTATTTGCTCCACTTTAAGATCAGGATTTATCATAGTGACAACAAAACTCATGTAATCCATCAGATGATCATTAAGTAAATAAAAGCAGCACTTTACATGATTTATGTTTTGTTTTTTTTAAATCAAAATTAAAGTTAAGACCATAGACTGTATATAGAATGGACGCCATCTGCCTCCTTGCTGGGTGAGGCCACCGCGAGAACAGCACCCTCTAGTGACAGGCTGCAGTATAGGACATACATCCTGCCTCCTTCAGCAATTCTTATGGAGCTGCGGACAAACTTTAGAAATTAATTACACAGAATATAAAATTTTCTCCCTCTTGCTTGCGATGTTGACATGTAGTTACTGTAAGACTGGTTTGTGCTCAAGTCCTCTTTTTTTCTGTACAGCCCCATTTTTAAAAGTTATTAAGGGGTTCGTGTTTTCTATGATTGACACTTAATACAGCCTATGGGCGTACGACGATTGCGTAGCTCACCGGGAGAATATGCTGTTTGAGCTGAGCGCCATCACAGCAACCCTTGGCAACTCTCCTGACGAATACGTACAACGCTACTGCACAAGTAGTGGTTTCAGAAAAAAATCCCAGAAATACCGAGAGCAACTCGGCTTCAAATTTGTATAATGAGGGAAGGCGGAGCCAAGTTGTCCATAGTACATACAGTCTATGGTTAGGATGCACACCCTGTCCCCTATTCTCCCAAATCTCTTAGTGCACACAGGTCACAGTTTAAAGTGTTGTGAGGAGCTTTTATTTGTCAAGAAAACAGACTGAGACTGATTCTGATTTGTCTTTCTGACCTTTAAAAGCACATGAGACCATCAGTAAAGTGTCATTATCGATGCTGTAAGGAGGTAGGTTCAGACCCAGCTCTATTTTTTCTTTTTTAGTGGCAAAGACTTTTCAAAGACAACAGAAGGAGGTGTTTGTCTGAAAATATTACTTTCACACATACAGGGCCAGAAATAAAGAGGTAGGCCTATTACTTTGTCCACAGGGGGCACCAGACCAGAAGTTCCCCTCAGCAGCTTTAAAAGAGATAAATGTACGATGCTTTGACAGGGGTTTAGTTTGAATTGGTCATAATAGACTGACCCTGGTTGTGCTTTGACCTCTTACCTTTTTATTGTCCATCAACAATGCTATAATTTAGCAGAAAATAAACCTGGGACAGATATCTGTCATGGTAAATAAATGATGAAGCCAGGATTTATTTTGCCTACCAATTCTCTTAATGAGCTTTCTGAAGTTTATCCTCACTGTGGACCTCCTGTCCAAACCTCCTTCAAATACTAGCTCTGCCACAAACACAGCCATTGTCAAGCACAAAAGAGTGGCGCAGATAGGAGTAATGTTAGCAGTTCATTTGTGTGCTTCAACAAAGGAAGATGCATGGCCCTACAGAGTCATGAGAAACCCTATACATCGATGTGTGAGGGCTGTTTTTGAAGCTCAAGTCAAAGATGCTGAAATCAGTAGAAAATATAATAACCAGCCAACTCAATCAGCGCATTCTCCTCGATCCCCACTCAGTACACAGAGCTGCTGAGTGTCCTGATGTTGGAGGGAGACACCGTCAGTTACTATTGCAGTGAAACTGTCATCATAAAACCTTCAATTCTTCCCCAGCAAATAAAAGAAAGCATTCTGTGTCGGATGCATCTGTCAGAGGCAATTTTCTCATCCACTATAATAGATGAGGAGAGGATGATAAGGAGGAAAGGAAAGTATCAGGTGAGCAATTAAACCAAGGCGCCCTCTTGTCATCCTTTTCTCATCTCCTTCAGTTCTTTCTCCTCCTCCTCCTCCTCCTCCTCCTCCTCTGTAAATGCTCGGGAAGCCTTGGCATACTCAAATCATCTTTGAGTAGTCAGTATGCAGTAGGTACTGCTTGAGTAGGTAAGTAGATAGTAGGCAGTATGCCATTTCGGACACAGCCTAAGTGCAAAGCAATCAGCATCACCTGCACGAGTGCACCTTGAATACCGACATGATGACATGAGAGTGAACTGTGCCACATCCTCTCACTGCTCATAATTGCTCTCCACTTGCCTTTAATTAAAAGACATAATCCCATTCCCGGCTTCCCCAAACACTGTTTTTATCTACCGGAAACTTTACTGTGTTGAACTCCTGATCACCCTGATAAACCGCCAGGCTAATTAAACAGAGGCTCGTACAATGTGTTCCTGCATGTGTATATGCATATTTATGTGTATGTGTGTGTGTGTGTGTGTGTGTGTGTGTGTGTGTGTGTGTAATCCATGGAGTGTGTCTCTTTATCTCTGATCCAGTTCCTCTCGCTCTCCCTTGCTGTCTCTCTCTCCTTGTCTGTCGGGCTCAGGGAAATGATGCTGAATGCTGAATGCTGAAAATATGGCACACGCTGAAAGCAGCATTTAAATCTTGACAGTGGCTGGGATTAGCTAGGTAACGAGGAGGACAGCTTGGGAAAAACAAGCCGAAGAGGTGAACTCGAGGACAGTGAGGCAGAGAGGGAAGATTCTGGATCTTGGCGCTGTGCTTGGAAAAATGGGACAAAATTCAGCACTAAGTTTCATAATTATCCTCGAAACTATCTCCCCCCTTTTTTTTTCAAAGTTTCCTTTTGAAGTTTCCCCACTTTTAATGATTGTCAAGCTCTTTCCAACATCCTCTCAGCCCAAACTGTAGCTCTGATGGCCTGAAGTTTGAAAGTCCTCTTATGGCCTCTGTGTGTGTGCCATCATTATCTGGTTTTCCGAATAGGACACCGAAGTGACTCACAAAAACACTTGAAGGGAAGTCTTGCTGCCTTTAATGTTCTACTTTCCATCCCCTGTTTTAATCAGTGCATATGTGCTGCGCTTAAAGCAAACTTGAGCCTGGTTACATCTTCACTCCCCCACTGATATCGCCTTCGGACTGCAGCCTACCAAATCCTAATCCTCTCTCCTCTGAGTCCCCTGCAAACCTTGACTGATGAACATGACCCTGAGGGCTCTCACTCTGCTCCTGACCGACAATGAGGTGGGGAGAAAATGTGAGCGAAGAAAGTGAGTGGAGGAAAAAAATGTCCTAATTACAGAGCTCCCCAAGAAGGACACATGGTCTGACATGAAGATGTGCACACATGGGCAAGCATGCACATACAGTACAAAGAGTCAGCTCCATGATGGACTTGTGGTTCTTAGGCAGGGCAAAAAAGGAAATAGGAGGTTACACCATATGCCTAGCTGCCTGCCTGGGTGTGCATTGCATATGCATAGCTTCATGTTTTATGGATAAGCTGTTATGCAATCTCTATGTCAGGGCCTTACAGTGTGTCTTCATCTCTATGCAGACAGCATTGGCATTCTCTCCATTTCATATTGCAGGCTTTGCACTGACATTAACAGATATATATTCCATCATGTCGCTCACAGCTCAGATGTAAGCTTAAGTAGAAAGAGAAGACGGCAATCCAGCCTGAACTCTACTGACACAAACTTAACCAACAGAATAGCTTACCCTTGTTGCTTTCTGAGATCAGTTCATAAAGTCACAACACTGGACTACATTCATGAAGAGGTGACGCGAAATCAAACCTGAAATGGAAAATATATCATTGAAGCTTTTCAAAAAGGACAGTATGATTGTTTGGGCTTTGATTTACACAGGCAGGAAATCATGAAGTACTTTCTAATCCAACTTTTAAGAAACTTCTCACTTTTACTACGGTGCTCATTTATACTTGAATGTCTGCAGAAGTCTGTATGCTTCTCTGTGGAAGTGAGGCCAACTATTGACATTGCAAATGTCTGCAATCAAGAACTCACAATCATTCACATCTTAGTTTAAAGTTTTGTTACAGAGCTGGGTCAATATCACCCTTTAACTCTTCTGCTGGAAAAAAAAAATGTTGATTTGTTTGGAACTTTGGCTTTGACATCAACATTGCATGATGATGAATTACCCTTGATGGTCAATTTTTCAGGACAAAGAAAAGATGAAGATGTGCAACAAATACATCACTAATGACATGGACTCTGAAAAAGCAAATCAGCCCCAAATTTTAAAATAGTCATACAGACCACATACGCAGAGGACTGAAGCTCTGAGGTAGAACTGGTCTCTCAGGATCCAGATGACTAAACCCAGGACTGGGCGATGTAGCAAAAAAAAATAAAAAATATCACGATATATTTTGTCATATCGTCCCATCTCGATCATTATCACATTCTTTTTCTCTCTGTATTGTTTGTGTGCTCTCAAGGTACCAGTGACGCAGTTATAATATATTATTAATTCAGGTTCCAGGTAATGCCTCAGTCACACTTAAAGGTGGTGGGTCAGTGGAGTTTATATCAGAGAGATATGGAAAGAGCTTACCTGTAAGCAGTTCTGACACAGTGCTGCCTTTAGATCCAGTGTTTGTAGATGTTAGATGTGGTTTGTGCTGGACCCACTGATCCCTCCACTTTGAAAATCTTGATCTCTCTCTGAAGCCCTGAGGTTGCTTTAGCTGACTGTTGTGGAGGTCTGGGTTTTGATGCCAAGAATTCTGGTGTAGGACTTTTTCAATATATATATTTCCACATATATACAATATAAAAGTAATAACAATTATTATTATTTTACATTTGATCAGTATCGTGAATAAAATCTCCTCAGTTTTCAAAAAGACTGCATTAAGTCAAACTTTTAAACAGGGGTCATAATACTGGTGGACACTGACATGCGGATCCAGTTTAAGTGGACACTTTTGTCCCCGTTTATCTGTCCAGCCTCACTCCTCAGTGATGTGTCCACGCTTTGGCGCTGTCACTCCACTGTCATGTCAGAGAGGAGCCCACAGAGAGAGCACAGACAAGCCCTCTGAACTGGACCACTCAGTGGTTCAAACCCTGACACATCATGCTTACACACACACACACACACACACACACACACACACACACACACACACACACACACACACACACACACACACAACAGACTGACTGAGATGGCAGTTAGAATACTGACCAAAGGATGACCACGAGCACACATCACAAGGTGACCTCTTTTTTTTTTCAGCTGTAGCATACATCTGTCTTTTTCCACAGAAGTTACTCTGAATTTTCTCGATTTGAATCTGCAAACAGAACTCTTGGTGGTTACAGGAAAAAAAAAGCGTAATAAGTGAGTGTATAACCGCTAACTGGCTGTTGAGCTCATTTAAGTTTTTTGAAAAGCTTTTCACTGGTTTTGAAGTAGTTTCGTTCTTACACTGATGCCTGTTCAGACCTTTTATAGTAAAATAAGTAACTTCAATTCATGATTAAATACTGATTTCAACAGTCTGATGAATATTATAAACTACATTTCTATCAAGCTCTGCTAAATTGTTTATACTTAATTGGTTACTGCTAAATTGCTATGCTGCAGTGTGAATGCTTCATCTCTCCTTGAGGACAGAGCATTTAAAGCAGGTGTTTACTGAGGTTTTTCAGATATTTGTTGGTACAGTGAAGCAGAAGTTCTGACATCTGGACTGTGGTGTCCCTAAACCAGTACACTAGTCACCTTTTGGAAACTAACTCTCAGTAACAAACCAAGTCAAAGTTCATCAAGTTTTATTGATATTATGATGCAACAATTTCAAATAGCAACAAATCAATGCGCCACATTGCCACTCTGCATCCTGTAAAGTTATCTTCATCAAAAAAAAAAAAAAAAAAAAAGTCAAACCAAAAATTCAATCTGTATGCTTGTACAGCAGATGTACACTGCGTTCCAAATTATTTTGCAAATGATGTTTTTCTCCGATTTTCTTGATAGTCAACACCAATGACAGTCATTATCTGTTGGAGTATAATTTAAATATTGATGAACAAACCCCCCAATGATAACAGTATTTTTTTTTAATAAAAAACTTAAAATTTACTGTTCCAAATTATTATGCACAACGGAGTTTAAAAACATTTCAGGGGTTGTAACTGAAAATGGCCATTTGTTATTATAAGGAGGTCATATTTACTGAAATCAAAAGCTATTTCAATTAAGAACATCTTAATAGGTCACAAATCAAAATCGTAACATAGGACCCCTTATTTGATAGCAGCTTCAAAATTCTTGCATGCATTGAACTTGTGAGTTTTGTCATCATAGTATGATGATCATGCTTAAGTTTTCCTGAAATATCTAAAGTTTTAATACCGTGTCCAAGGCATTCAACTATTTCCTTCTTTTCAGCAGCAGAAAGGTCCTTTTTCTTTTCCATATTGCTTGAAAATGTTGGTCTGCTTAATAATGTGGAATATCCTTCTTTAGTAGTTTTCTCCTTAACTGGGCTCACCTGGCAAACTAATTATCACAGGTGTCTGAGATTGATTTCAGTGATCCAAAGAGCCCTGAGACACAATAACATCCATGAGTTTAATTGAAAAACAAAAAATCTAACTTTTATGACACTTGAATACAATTTGCATAATTATTCAGAATGCAGTGTAGGCCTTGGGAAGAGTCAGATCTGTATGACAGCAAGTGATGGAGCTCATTAGAAATGCACTTATCATCCAAGAAAAACGGTAAAAACATCATTTATGAGGACCACCCAAACCAGCCCAGCAGGAAAATGTATCACAGTACCTTTAAATTTGTATGGTGATAAGATGACATTTATCAAAAAAGTAGACTAAATAACCAGCCTGTACATTGTTTTCATGTAGTCAAATAAAGGGTGGGTCAATTATAAAGTTATAAAGCACTGTTACGAGATACAGATTTCATAGATTTTTCCAGTTATCATTTTTATTTGTACCCTCAGTTTCCAGGAAAAATGCACAGATTACCCTGCTTGCATTCTTGCACAATCCATATCCATAGTCAGAGGTTATCACCGAGTGAAAACAACAATGGAGGTAGACCGGAGCAGAAAATGTGATAATGAAAGAGCAGACGTGAGAATTTGGATGGTGTTACATTAGAGGACAGGATTGTTGTAGGGATGTGTTGCTGTGTGGTAACAGCAGCATAATCGACTCAGGAACATTGAGCGCTCCCCTGTTACCGTGTCCTCTTATCCTTGTTGCTCAGCAGCAGCTTTTGTTATTTCTACAATAGTGCTGTTGTGTTGGCATGTCATCCTTTCACGGTGATTGTTTCTCACCTTCAGCTTGGCAGCCAGGGAGGATGCCACAGTGGAAACTGCGACCTTTTGTCACATTTGTTTGTCAAAAAATTACTCACTTCTCTTTCTTTTGAATCTCATCTTTTGCTGAATTTTACATGTAAGACACTCTGGGCAGTAAATGTTTAGAGCAATGGGATTTCCTCAAGGACACACTAAGCATCTTCAACACAGACCATTAATAAAAGTAAAAAAAAAAAATATATATATATATATATATAAAAAAAAAAAAAAACAATCATTAAATCAATGATTTGTTCAGTTTAAATCGTTGTCACCTCTGGGTTGCAGACTGGCCTGGATCTTTAGGTTTCAATTAACTTTTGAGTCCTACACAGAACTGATCTCTCTGTCCTTTTTTCAATTTCTCTTTCTTGCTGGACCCCTCTCACCCACATCACCCATGTGGTTCTGGTGATATTTCTGAGTCAGGGGACCAGGCTCGTTCTGTCGCACACACACACACACACACACACACACACACACACACACACACACACACACACACACACACACACACACACATTATGGAGCAGCAGCTGGAGTCTGAGGCAGTATTAATCCTATTTCTGCTTGTTAATGGGATTATGTCTTTTAATTAAAGGCAAGTGGAGAGCAATTATGAGCAGTGAGAGGATGTGGCACAGTTCACTCTCATGTCATCATGTCGGTATTCAAGGTGCACTCGTGCAGGTGATGCTGATTGCTTTGCACTTAGGCTGTGTCCGAAATGGCATACTGCCTACTATCTACTTACCTACTCAAGCAGTACCTACTGCATACTGACTACTCAAAGATGATTTGAGTATGCCAAGGCTGCCCGAGCGTTTACATACAGATGCATACTAAATACCCCAGAATGCATTTCGTGCCGGCCGGACGCAGCGCCGGGAAAATTTAAATAGTCCTACCACACGCTACACAGAACGACTGCATTCCGGACAAATTATATAAATTCATTCAATAATAATATTTTTTCTAGCGAGAAAGTAAGTGTTTACATCACGATTATGAGCCCAGTTGTTTGAAATAGTGGCTGTTTGTAAATTTGTCTCGGCGTTTTCGGAGACCGAAGCGTCCGCTTGGTGGGTGTTTGCGTCTATTTACAGTAAGCACCGGGCAGCAGCAGCTCCCCCTTCACGTTTCCAAATTATGGCGAAGTGTTTTCATAATCAACATCTACACGACACAAACCGGGCGGCAGTGGATGAAAAAAATCACACAAACATCTGTGTATCCATGGTGATAATGCTATACACCACCTGCTAGGCATGTGATGAGCAGCAGAGGGCTGCAAAATGACCAACACACAACATAATTATTATGACCTTGTTCGGTTATTTCTTGGCAAATACATCATTTCCCGACTACATTCTTTTCATGTACAATGATTATTTCAGAAACCATCAGATTTTCAACCACAAGTAAGAATTAGTAAAGCTCACATACATTGTAAACTGGAAACTCCCCCGTTTGTATATTCTGAACCATGTGCTCTCTACCAAAGATAATTTTTATTAATCAGAGGTCTGTGCTTAATATGAGTGACCACTTTGATGATGCATTCAGAGATGAGAAGATGCTCAAACTTGATGTAATAAATACATCTTTAATAGACACTTAAATAAATAAAGTCAATTCATACGAATAGTTAAAAACATTACCTATAATCCTAATTTAAAATACAAATAAATCTGGTAAAAAGATCAAAATATGATAAAATGATAAAAATTGTGTAATGTATACTGACTAAATATTGTTTATCTATTTATATATAGTATATATAATTATTATTGCAATCACATGCCATCTATTTCTTTTCAGCCTCGGGAAAGAGGGCCATATTACCAGCTGAGGTGCGCAATGCATTGTGGGGCAGAAGCAGTACCTGAAGCAAGCTCCGTTCCACACTCAGAAATCGAAGCGGATTGAGTATACATCCGGGCATTTCTTGCATACACAAAATTCGCATAATGTACAGTGTGAAAACACTGCCTACTCAATTCAGAGGCAGGGTTAGTAGGAGTAGTAGGAGTAGTATGCCATTTCGGACACAGCCTTAGACTAAGTACAGTTTCACTTCATTTTGACCAGTATTTACCCTTATTTGTGCATTTGTGTATGAAGTGATCGCAAATTTAAGGAAAGCTGAATCAAGTCAATTGAAAACTCCATCCATATCTGCTTCTCAGATGTTTTTGTGGCGAGCTGGTGTGTTTTGAGGACCCAGAAGCAGACACAGAGGCAGATATCAACTTAAGATATAGTTTTAATGTCCAAAACTCAGGTTTAAGGCAAAATAGGAAGTCTGGTAGGCTAGCTGGCTGTCGTGTGGGCTGGAGACACTGCAAGGAAAACAGAGGAGAGGGAGGTGAGTAGACATGCAATGAATCACACGGAGCAGAGTTACGAGTACTAATTCAAAGAGGAGGCCAGGAGACGCGTCTGTACCACTTGGGAGTGAAGACAATACTCAGGCGCTGAGACTGAGGGCTGCTGGCTTCTTGAAGTGCCTTGATTGCAGATGTAGAGCAGGTGTGTAGTCTCACTCAGCCTCAGCTACTGGGGGAGGGGAGGGAGCTCTGGAAAAGAGTCAAGCCAGATCAGGCAAACAAAGAAACACAGGAAGTCCAGCCAAAATAAAACACACTTTACCATACTCTAAACCAAATGACCAGGGGCCTCATGTATCAACGCTGGCGGCGCCAGAAAACCTTGCGTTCGCCCAGATCGGCGCACATGTCCAGATTTATCATTGCGACACGAGCGTCGGTTCCAGCGCAAATCCACGCAAAGTGAGGAGGTGGTGTAGAAGTTGGCGTTGAGCCGATACTTGCGTTGACGGCACTTTGGCGACGCTGTGTGGCGGTGTTTGGTGACTCACTATGTGACAAGCATGCACCACATCCCTGTGGCCGAGCAGCACGTCGCCCCACATGACGAACCAGCAGCAGACGGAGGGATGCGAGCTAATCCCTGCCGGGCCGCCGTCCTCATGCGGGAGAATCTCATCGCCACAGTGTGAATGGGTAAGAAGTGAATACAGGGTTCAATGAGCCAAATTAATTTATTTTCGCCACCAGACGTTTATGAGCCGGTCCAGCCGCTCATTGATCCCCCCTGATGATTTCTTCCTGATTGCAGGACCGCCTCCGTGAGGACCCTTCCACTGCGTCCGGGTGGTCCAGCGGAAGCGCAGCAGCTGGTGGACGCTCCACCGCTTGTCGGCGCGCTGGTGCTGGTGCTGGTGCTGGTGCTGGGGCCGGGGTGGCCCAAATGCCGCTGGTCCTGGCCGACGACTCCGAGCAGGCGGACGGGCTGCTGCGGGCCGGGGTTCCGCATGCCGGCGACACGGCCGACACATTGATTTCTGTGACACAATAAAAATATTGGTTCATTTCAATTCCTGCTTCTGTGTATCTGTTGCGTTTACATCTATGGCAAAGCATGTGGACATTTGTGTGACACGCCACTTACCCTCCGGCAGGCTGTCTGAGTCGCCGCGGGTAGCAGCGACAATCCCCCCCACAGAGGCGCCACCCATAATCGCCACCACGCGCTGCTCAAATGGCGTGAGGGTCTCCTCCCCCGGACCCCCACCTGTCTGGCCGGTACTCCTCCGGAGGGCAGCTGTACGCCGCTTGACCTCCACCTTGAGGTCCGACCACTTTTTTTTAATCTCCGCGGGGTGCGTGTCTCGGAACCCACCGCGTTCACCCTCTCGCAAACTTTCTCCCACTCCAAGCGTTTTCGTTTTGCACTGACGCCACTGGACAGGCTGCCAAACAAAACACGCTGTCGCTCCTCCACCTCCGCCTATGCCACCAGCACCTCCACCTCGCACGCCGTAAATTTCGTTTTTCTTGTCATTTTGTCTGCGTGCGAGGACAGGGAGACCCTATTTAAATAAATCTGCATATTTATAGGTGGGCGTAACGAGGGCGGGCCCAGTCACTCCGACATCTGCGCTCAATTCCACGCTGATTGGGATTTATCAAGGAAACACACGTGGCTTTCGGCGCCCGCACACATTGATACATACGGATTTTTTTCAGCGTGACGGACCTTGCGTGCGCTCGTTTCTGGTATGAGTCCCACGCAAGTGTTGATACATGAGGCCCCAGTTGCCTCAACACATTTATTAAAATGAAGCCCCATTTGCCACAACCAGAAACACATTTCACCTGTAGACACTATTCACAAAACCCACTCACTTCTTCTCAGAACTCTAAACACATTTTTTTCTTGCTAAAACACATCCTGCAAAACACATCTGCTCAAACATGCATAGTTAAGCTCATTTGATGCAAAATGCTACCCGCAGTCAGTAAAACTTGAACACAATGAACATACCTTGTGTCCTTGATTAAACACAACGACTCAAAATTGAAGACACCTGTTGAAAATGAGGTAACCACACCTATATAAGTCAGTGCAGAGTGTGCTGAATATTCCAAACAATGGAGGGACAAGACAGAGGGATTCGCGTCAGAGGAAAAGGTGCAGGCTGATGGGGGCAAGGAGCAGGCTGAGGGGGGCAAGGAGCAGGCCGAGGGGGGCAAAGAGCTGGCCGAGGGGGGCAAAAAGCAGGCTGAGGGGGGCACGGAGCTGGCCAAGGAGCAAGAGGAGCAGGCTGAGGAGGAAAAGGAGCAGGCCAAGGAGCAGGGGAGAAGGGCAAGTGAGACGTTGACGCACGATCATCACAGATGAGATGCGAGCGACCATTATCAACCATGTCATTGTCCATGGAATGACCATGACTGAAGCTGGCCAACAAGTCCAGCCAAACATAAGCCGATATACAGTGGCCACCATCATTCAGGCCTTCAGACAACACAACAGGTACTGAATGTAGTATTTCTTGGTCACTACAGTAGATGTCTATACAGATACTGTACTGCATACGTAGTGGAGTGCAATACGATTTACCACAGTTTGCCGTAAAGAGATGTCCATGTATTGAATACATGCCTTTACAGTACTGTATTTTACAGTATATGTGTAATTCTGTAAACTGCATGTTTCATTACCTTTACTGTACATTACTGTAAACTTGAGTGCAGTTGGGGGGCAAGCCTTCATTTTCACCTAGAACAATTGCAACCATGGGTAAAAGTGTTACAGTACTGTGCACTGCAAGGACTATCTCTATACTGACCAAATGTATGTTTGTTTCTCTAGAGTTGACAGACTGCCCCGTGCAGGTTGGAGGGGTTCCATATTCACAGCAGCCCAAGAGGTCCTCACTGTTGACATGGTTCGGGAGAACAACATCATCAGGCTTTGGGAAATACGTGAGAAAATCATTGCTGACAATGTGAACTTCCCGAACATTGACTCAGTCAGCCTGACAACGATAGACAGAGTCCTCCAGTGCCAGAGGGTGCGCATGAAGGTGGCATACAGAGTACCCTTTCAGCGAAACTCTGACAGAGTCAAACAACTCTGTCACGAGTATGTGCAAGTAAGTATCTATGATGTAGCCTACAGTTTACAGTACAGTACAGTGAGTGCAAAGAGAAATGACCCAAACTAGTGACAACAGCAGATCTACAAGCTCGAGACTTTGCGCCGTGTTGAGAGCTTCTAGATAGGCTATTTTCACTACTTCTTACAGTAAACGTCTGTTTACTATTTCAGTTTCTTTGATTTACTGTAACTTTTTTCCTCATTAAATTAGTGGGGAAAACATTGAATTCTACTTGTAATTCATTGATTTATTTGGTCTTTGCGTTTTGATAATTACATTAATCAAGGGACCCATAAATGCCTTGTTGTGACCCACAAATGGGACCTGAGCAAGCGTTTGAGAAACAGTGGCCTATAGTACAATATATCGCATTATTATACAATACTGTAATGTACTGTTTTGACTGCCTTACTGAACACCTGAAAACACTTTGTTTCCACAGACATTCTTCGGGATGGACAGACTTCATGACTATATATTTGTGGATGAGGCCGGCTTCAACCTCACCAAAAGAAGAAGAGGCCGTAACCTCATTGGGCAGAGGGCCATTGTGAATGTTCCAGGCCAACGAGGAGGGAACATCACTCTTTGTGCTGCCATGAATTCCAGAGGCCTTGTCCACCGTCATGCAATGCTCGGTCCATATAACACAGAATGTCTCGTCACCTTCCTGGGGGAGCTCCGAGATGTTCTCCTTAACTGGTGGGCCAGCTGATGATCCCATCCAGGACCCTCAAAATCCTGACCCAGCTGATCCTATTTATGTAATAATCTGGGACAATGTTGCTTTCCATCGTACCAGAGAGGTCAGAGAGTGGTTTGAACTCAACAACCAGCAATTTGTCAACGTTTGTCTTGCACCTTACTCTCCCTTTCTAAACCCAATCGAAGAGTTCTTCTCAGCATGGCGGTGGAAGGTGTATGGTCGCCAACCTTACACTAGGGCGAACCTTCTCTCGGCTATGGACCTGGCCTGTGACGGCGTGCGCGTAGATGCTCTCCAAGGCTGGGTCCGGCATGCTAGGGCATTTTTCCTGCGTTGCCTGGCCATGGAGAATATAGCATGCGATGTTGATGAGGCCCTGTGGCCTGACCCAGCCCGACGAAATGATGCTGGCCAATGATGTTGTTGTAAGCTTGTCGAATTTGAGAGCTTGTAGATGGGCTATTTTCACTAGAGTAATTCTTTAAACATTTGTTTTCTAATGGAAAATCTTTGATTTTGTTCTCTGTAAAGTATGGTCCATGGGTGTCCCCAAACCTGTGCAATGTGACGCGTTGTGAGCTTGTAGTGCAATTCATTGCTGTGCAAAGGGTGATGTTTCCTCCTTGTTGGCCAGGAACATCCACAATAGCTCACAGCCTGCCCAATGCCTCTTTTCTTTTTTAGTGAGGTTGAAGCTGGCCTCATCCACAAATACATTCATGTACTGTAGTCTGGTGATGGAGCACACACTGGTGACGAAGGTGTTTGATTCTGGGTACTCTATACTGCAATAGGCCTGCTTCATGCGCCCCCTCTGATGCTGGAGTCAGTGGTCAGGCTGAGTTTGTGAAGTTCAGATTATCAGCAAAGATGTTATCCTGTATTTCCCCTTATATTACAGTATTCTCCTGAACCATGTCGATTCTTGGGATGCGTCTCCCACCTGCATGCGGCAGTCTTTCAAATCTGTGCAGTAAAACATACTGTCATTACTGTGATAAGTTACAACCTGAACATTGTGTTTTCATTTGTTACTGTACACTATACATATGTATTGCAATGGATCCTCCATGGTGTTTACACTGCTTTGCATTGAGTTGTGATACAGTAACTGATTTTTCTTCATGTGACTATTCCTATGAAACACGCAAATCTAGAGTGCATGCCCAATATATATTTGAGAATATATGTATGTAAGGGTTTCTAAAAAATGTGTTCTGCAGTGATGAAACTGTAAAAAGAATGGTCTCACACTATGAACATTGTGTTTTGCATTTTTTTTAAAGTGTGTGTAATGATGCTTGGTAGTGTTTACATTTTTGCAGGCCTTGAGAGGTATTGTGTTGTCAAGGTGGACTTTTGAAAATATGTGAGACTTTTGAGCATAGGTGCAATTGTTTTGGTGTGCTCGAGTGACTTTGAACATACGTTCTGTTTTGGAGTGTATGGGTTGGTTTTGGGAAGAGAATTTGCTGTTGTGTGAATAGTGCTTGAGTGTTTAGTGTTTAGGGTTGTGGGAAAAGGGGGGGTAGTATGGTGAAATGTGTTTTAGCAATAGAGAAAAACTGTAATAAAACACTCCCAAAAGAAACTCCAGCACTTTCCCTCTTCAGCTGAATTTGCAGGGCTGCTGGGTGTAAACCAAGAAACAAACGGCGGTGGTGTTGGTGTGTGAGAAGTTCAGGAATAACAGGCTAAGGTGAAAGGATAACAGGAATCAAACTGTGACATAAGAAAGATGAGAGGATGGAGCAGCTTCCACCATGACTTCTTCGCCCTAAGTCAGTTGTGTTGTCCTAGATAAAAGATGTAGCTGTACTCTGTCACTGTTAATTAAAGCCAAGCCCTGATATTGCATGTGCTGATTAGACCTCTTTTCAGGATGTTGTAGGGCATGTACAAAGATTTTTCTTGATGCCAGCCCTTTAATTAAACTGCTTTTTGAACCTTCAGTGTTTACTTTGAGTACATTTCCTATTCAAGTGGTCCAATCTTGTAATTTAATAGCAGATTTCTTGGTGTGTGAACTTGATCTGACCTCAATCCAAGAAGGAGACATACTGTGAAGGTTAGCTTTTTGGCACCAATGATGTGCTGTTTTTTCAATGTTTGTCGTGGAAGGCTTTGGGGCATAGTGAGATTTGATCAAATTTAAGGCTGATTTTCTTTGTTTAATGCCTTTGAAGTTTTAACTGATAACAAAAACAGATGTTGATGTCTCAATGTCACTGGAAAACCCACAAGACCATAGAAAAGATGAGTGATAATGTCTAAACTGTATTTTTTGACTTTTTGAACCACTCCTGCAGGGGATGGTGTTTTGATTTGACTTGATTCTCATGATGTTTGACTGTGAGAGGACAGCAGCAGAGATGTGACATTCGAGAACCATTAAGTCATTTCAACAGCTCTTTTAAGTGAACAATGAGAACCTGTTCACAGTTGTGAGCCGTATCAGGGTTGTACAATTCACATTTTTATCATGTCCTTATTAGAATTTTAGTTATATGTTCTTATCTATTATTTTTACATTTTTTTCCTATATTGTTAAAATGAAAATTTTACACTTAAGTTTTTGGCAGGGAAGTTATCTGCATGTTTTTTTTTTTTAATGTACCACAAGATTGTGTAGGCAAACTCATACTCAGCTCCTGCTCTCGGTTGCTTGAAAACAAAAAAATGACGCTACTTCTTCCGGCTGCGTCTCTATCACTTACAACACTCCTTGTCTTACAACTTTTAATTTGTTTTGCTCTGGCTCACGGGAGCATCTATAGGTGAAAATGACACAGAGCATGCAGCAACACGCTGACTTAAAAACTCAAAACTCGCATTGCAAATGCATAAATGAATATCAAATGAGTAAATATTAATTTAATATTCATTTATGCAATTACAACACCTTGATTTTAGTGAGATTAGTACTCAGTCAAAGCCATAAATGCACTGGTACTAATAATTGACATCATTTCTTTTGGTGTTTTTTACCTCCGCCAAGGAGGTTATGTTTTTGGTAGTGTTGGTTTGTTTGTCTGTAAGCAACTTTACGGAGAAAGTAACAGTGCAGAGGTGCGTCTCAGCCCCAGGAGGATCCCATTAAATTTTGGTGGTGATCTGGACAAAATTCCGGATACTGTGATCCAGAACACACAAAAATAAGGGTGTCGTTGGAATTTTCAGTGCTGAAAGATAACCAATGGGCAGCACAGTGGTGTAGATAGGTGGTACAGTGGTGTAGTGGTTAGCACTGTCACCTCACAACCAGAAGGTCCTGGGTTTGAATCCCGGGTAGGGCATTCCTTGTTTAAGGGGGGACATAAGCTGCTTGGCGGAGGTCTGCGCTCTCTGAGTGCTTTTCTAGTTTTGTATTTGGTTTTGGCCAAAAAGTTTCATTTCATTGCATCCCTACTTTAAACGGTCACTGCACAATAAGAATCCCATCAGGGAAAGACCAGATCAGTTCTTTTGAACTGAAGAAAAGATGGCTGGAATCGATAAATGTGGGAAATATCATCTTGCAATTTAAAGGCAGTTATGGAACCTAAAAACCACAAAGCTTCTCAATCAAAATTGATGTTGTGACTTCAGATGTCCAGATAAACATACTGGGTAACTTTGGTCAGGATCAAACCAAAGTCCTACAACTGATGAGGTTTGCGGTGGGGATTATTTGCCCTTTGCTGATTTCACATCATACTGATTCCATTAGTGAGGTGTAAACCAGCCACTGTGTCCTCTGTAACTGTGTTAAAATCCACTTAGAGGCATCTTAGAGGTGAAAGAGATTGCAGATGTGCTGGACGCTGCTGTTGTCACTGTGCCACCAAAGAAGAGGAGGAGAATTACTTCACTCCAATAATCACATCAACCACCTGAGAGCTTGCTAATGTGTCACTGCTGCACACACAGGTGTATTTGCTGTAAACCCACACATGCATACAAAAATGCATTAGCCTGCAAGTGCTCACAGATTTACATCTACTTATCATAAAGCTGAAACAGTTATTTTAATTTATCCAGAGTGAATGTAAAACATAAATCAGTGTATATGCACTTGTTTTATCTCTTGCTTCTCTCAGCGTGCTCCTCCAATTACCTGCCGTCAAAGGCTTTATTCTGTCCTCATCCTGCAATGTCTCTTTTTTTCCTCTGAGAACAAGGGAGCATTTTGTTCCAATTAGTCTCAGCAGACAAGCCTGCAGCAGCCACTCAGCCAGTCCTTAGGATGAATAAACCCAACACACCTAGCTCTCCTCCGACAGGTTAACTCAAAATACGCTGCAGGCAGAGAGTATGAAGCGCAGCAGAATGAAAAGTACAGTGAAGATAATGAAATTAAAAGAAACAATGGCAGTATAAGAGAGAGTACCAGCAAATGACACGGATCAAGACAACAGAGATGAGCTGTAGTGGAGGGGAATTAAACAATATGGGTAACAATGGATGATTTAAAATGAATTTGAGATGTCTCTTGAGTTGAGGTAGGAATCTGTCTTTTTGATCACTCAGTGAGTTCATTTTTAGACAGTGAGAGAATTTCTTTTTAAATCTGTTTGTGTTGTCATAAGGTCAAAACCATCTGCTGCCTCAGGTTTTGAAGTCTGTCCTCCAGGGCTGTAACACTTGGCTTATTCTCAAACCAGCTCAAGGAAAACTTTACTTAAAAAGCAAAAAATTCAATAACACGACACCCTTTTCTGCTTTTTTTCCCTGAGACTTGACTGAGCCTTGATTCATTTGACACGCAATTCATTTAGACTTGGCATAACACCCCACAGTTATCAGTGCATTGTACTTTAACAAGAAGGGCTGTTTGTGTTGATCACACATCATTGTAAATGTGTCCATATAATGCTCCATAAAGCTTTTATCATCAACAATGGATAAGTGTGCTGCACAAGAGTACCTGAATGACAAAGATACAAGGTCTTCCACTGTTCACAGCAGAATGAAAATCAGCAGACATGAACAGCTTCTTAATGTGTGCATCATACAGTTGTGTGGGACAGGTAGAGATGTTAGGAATAAATCCAGGATTGGGTACATTTTTGTTATGAATAAACCTGAACATGCATTTTTCTTCATTATCTATCAGCAAACACATAACAGATTCAGCTCTATGTTCCAATTTTATATCAGATAGTTTGATAACAGCTGAGATCTCAGAGGTAGACTTCCAACTGAGTGTGCACCAATGGTAAGGTGACCAGGTCCCCGGCAATAACCCTGATTTAAGCCATGATTTCATGAATTAGAAAAAAAATGTTGCATGATGATTAGAACAACGGTTATCATGGTAGCCAAGTAGGTAGGAAGAATGTTGCACGCAGTCCTGAACAACAGTTTTTAAGGGGGGCATGCACTGCTACTAAGTAGTACGGTCTGGTCACCTTAACCCAGTGATTTTCAACCTGTGTGCCAAGAGAGATCATCAGATGTGCTGTGGGAAATTATCCTATTTGCAAATAATATGCCAATGTCGACTGTCTGTGCTGTAATAAAGTGAGCGTCAGAGCAGTGCTCTTCTATGTCACTGGGTGGCAGCAAGCTGCTAATTGCCTGGAAAAAAAGTGAAAACAAAAAGGGGCTGGGAGCTGTTGAGGAAAAGCTTAGTGTATGTCTTTCTTCCTTTCCTGCCAGGATATAAGCTTTGTGTTCATCTAAATGGCCAGGGCACACACTGAGTGAGAATAAAAAAATTTAGAAACTATATTACTAATTTTTAGGGATGCACTGAAAATTCGGCCACCAAAATGGCCAAAAAGTGAATTTTTGGTTATTGGCCGAAACACTTTTCTCACCGAAACATCACGGCCGAAACAGATGTTGTGATGACGCAAGCAAAAACCGCAACCAGTACGTGCTTGTCTGGATAAGAGCCAAAGTGTCTGCTGTGTAGACGTATTTCTATGTATCTGAGTGACTGGCATAGCATTTATTGCTAAAATTTCCAGAGGGGGTGCATCTGCAAATAGTTTCTTTATGTCGGGTTTAATTCATCACCTGATATCCAAACATCCCTATCACCATTCTACATATGAGATGAACACGGCACAGAACAGGAAAATCCCTCCAAGCACGCCCACTCTGTCTGTGGGGGATGTTGCAACCGAGTACACATGCAAAAGGTGGGGAAAGATTCACTTCTTCTCACTTTTATTGATAGATTTAACCGAAATCAACATTGCAGACTCATGCTCAGCTCCTGCTCTCGGCTGACTGAAAGTAAACATACTGATGCTACTTCTTCTAGCTGTATCTCTACCGCCCACAACAGCTTTTGAATTGATTTTGTCCCTGACTCAAAAACTCAAAACTCACGTTGCATTAATTAATATTAATCTATACAATTGTAATGCCTTGATTTTAGTGAGATTAGTACACAGTCATAGCCATAAATGCAATGGTACAAATAATTGGCATAATAATTTCTTTTGGTTTTCGGCCTTGGTTTCCCCATTTTCAGTTTTGGCCAATGTGTTTTATTTCAGTGCATCCCTGCATTCTATAATATATACTGTGTTAGACTATAGAGTGTCATTTTGGTTGGTAGTGTGCCCCAGGATTTTGTCAATGTAAAAAATGTGCCGTGGCCCAAAAAAGTTTGAAAAACACTGCCTTAACCAATGGAGGTCTAACTACACATGGGTAGAGCTGCTCTTGTGAAGCGAGTAAAAAATATTCATTCACGCGTCTAGATCCACGTCCCATTAATTAAAGTCTGTTTACTGCTGATGAAAATCATCTTATTTCCTAAAGAAAGCAAAGATCCAACTTCCTATCTTGCGTGCACCTAGACGAAGGTCAAACTGCACACACACTCATGAAGGCCCACTGTGCACTGCAGCCAGGTACGCTTGTATTTTTATTATCAGTCAAAAATTCTGATGCTCAAAAGACCAAATGTAAAATAACTGCAACATGTCAACTATGTCTTTGTGGAGTTTACGGTTTTGAGTCTGCTCTTTATTCAGTGTGTTGAATTGATAGTATACCTCTATTAGCTCCATAGCTATGCAGTATTATTAATTTTATATTCATTATGTTGCTGCAAACAATACATGAACTCTTTTAGTTTTCTTTTTGAACAAGTAATTGATAACCAACTGTCTCAAGATCAACTATGAACTTGTGTCCCCAGTGACAAGACAAGCTTGGAGAGTGTCAGGGTATGATTCTTCAAATAAATCTGAGAAAGGCTACACACTGGTTGCTCTGCATGCATTACCTTTATTTTTCTAACACACCTGTATAAATGTAGCTCCAGCGTAGGCCCAGTCAGGAAGACTATACTGCTGTCACAGAAGCTGTCAGAAGACAGAAGTGTCTTTTCCTCTTCCATACTTACTTGCTTTTCCTGCTGTCATCACTCAGCACAGTCCATGGTTAATCAGCCTCTCACCAGTGTCCTCTTTATCCAATAGTACGGTAGCACACCCTCACAGCCAGCCTATTGCTGTTCTGCTCTCATTTTTAAAAATGAAAATTTCTCCGTCTTTTTCACTGTTGTTTTCTGAGCGTCCTCCACCTCCCCACCCCCTCCCGGTCTCAGCAGAATCAACAGTGCTATAATTCATCCATCTGGTCGCAGCAAGTCATCAGCCACCACTACCAGCTTCAGGACTTCATTGGTAGATTTTCCTGCCAGACCAGGAATCCTACAATCTCAAAAATCACCCCATGGTGTCCAATTGCCAAAAAATTTATGTCAAGAAACATTTTAATAAATGTCAAATATATATTTTTTATTCTCTAAAATTTATCTCTCTGCTGGGGTCAAATGGTTCACATTGATTTATAAAACTGCTGTTAAAGTAAGCTCTTACTGTTCTTTATTCATGCTGTTAAATGAAACTTCCTGGTGTTTTTTCCCAGCTTATGTAAACCGAGTGAAAATTTAGAGACTCTTTGTTGATATGATACTGCTGCTCTTACTTTCTATCTGCCTCTAAATTCAAAGTAAGTTAAAATTATCCTACATTTCTAAAAAAAAATTGTGCATATGGAGGAGGGCTGTCAGTGTTTATGGCAATGAGATTAAATTCTGAAACGTGACGTGTGACTGTTTTTTTTAATCACACGTCATTTTTACCCTTTTGGCATACCAAAGTTCAGATGCTTTGGTGTCATTCTGACATGTCACTGCAGGTAAACCAAACTAATGTCAGCAGCAAATGCATGTTGAAGTGCGGGATGCTCTGCTTCTTTCCTGAGTAGCTATAAGTAAACAACAGCCTATCTAACCATTTCTACTAATTTAGGTAAATTAGAGGGGTGTTGAACATTAGCTGTTTTTGTTTATTTATCTAAACCTTATTGTACTTAATAAAATTCCATTTTCCTGTGTGGTGTAAATCTGTTACACCAAAGTAAAGCCTGATAGAAAGGGAATATGCAAACCACTTTCAGAGAGAGCAGAGTTTACCTTAATGAACCTGTTTCATGGGTCTGGTACAAAGCAAGCTGGTGCTCCGGATAAGTTTATTGTAATGTAGTCATCATGAATGTTCCACCTGTGCTTTTCTTACCAAAGCAAGCCAAGATACTTACAGAGAGATCATTAAAGTGTGAAGTGTGAATGAGGAGATTAGATACAACATGGTCTCTGGATTTATCCAACAACCCTCGCCTTGAATGTTTTTTTTTTTTTTTTTTCCAAGTTGAACATCCTTGTTAAGGTAAACTCTTCCCCCTCCTCAACTTTGCTTTATCTTCTCTTCCCCATCTGTCTTAATCTCATTACACATGTCAATAGATGACCAGCTTATTCCCCAGTGATAAACAGCACCATTACCTCACAGTGACCCCCAGCACTGTTTACCTTGTTAACAACGCTCTGGACCCCAAACACTCTCATTTCCTATACTCCGGGACCCATATGCATATGTGTGTGTTTGTGTGTGTGTGTGTGGCCTCTAAGAGACACCTTGGCCAACATTGACGGTGTTTGTTCAGTTGTCCTGCATTACTCCCAGTGATGCCTTTATTTGAAGTTGTAGTGAAAGTGGTGCTGCTGGGGCTTGATCAGCTGAAAGGGTAACATAGGAACAGGAAAGAAGTTGTTTCCTGGGTCAGACATCATCTCTTTAGAAGGTTGGGATGGATTGGTCAAAGCTAACCAAATCTTTACGAGATTATGATAAAATGAGTGGTTATAAAGTTGATAATGGTGTAGAAACCTGACTAAATCATAGCAAGAGGGTAAGAAGACAAATGCAAAGCTGAGATTTCATTGCTCATTTTCACAACAATAAAAAGCGAGAGACAGCTGGATCAATTTAATATATAATTAGTACAAGCTATGTTTAGCATGCATTCATAAGAACTGATAACAGAATTGGGGGCAGGTGTTAGGTTGTGGTGGAAAAGGATGATATAGGAAACCATTTGCAGGCATAGCCAGAATCAGGCTCTTGAATGTTAACAAAAAGGCTCCTGGATGTTCAAATTGAAGAGAAAACTTCTTTAAGAGTTCAACCAAAGGTTAAAATGGTTTGCTGTTGTCTTTGGTGTCATCCCCAGCCTCAGCTCCACCTACTTCCCACTCATGTAGACCTGGTTTTAATAAACTGCTCTTGATGCTTGCTTGTACATTTCATCAGGGGTGTTTCTGAGGGTCATTGAGTGTTTTGGGGTTTTCTTTAAATGCATTGACCTCAGCCAGAGCAACAGCTGTGCGTTATTGGCCTTTATGTTGCCTTTTCTGTGGTGTAGTCCCATAATCCCAAAGACCCTGAAGACCTAGCAGAATAAGTGGCCTGTGAATCCTCTTTATTCAGTGTGCTACCATTTATCAAACTGAACAAAAACAATGTAGGCACCAATCCAATACTAGTCTCTTTTTGTAGAGATGCTTTTTTTTTTTTTTTCTCGCTACATGGCAGATGGCTGTCTTCTTAGGCAAGGTACTTATCTCATTCTTGATATTCTAACAGCCTTCTTTATTTAAATTTGAGGATGGGCTCCTTACTGTTGCCCCTAATTGTAGGTTAGTGCCAGTGAATGAAGTTGCAGCATGATCCCCAGCTCTTGCTTCCATTTTTTGCTGTCATAAGTTAATGTGAACTGAGTTACAAGTCGTACTTGTCAAAAGCACAAGCAAGTTGTCCACTTCGCTCTTGCTTGAGGATCTTCAAAGTGAATCTTAATCAAAAGGCTTGCCCAGGCTTGACAAAAGGTGATGAGCCAGCTCTCAGTGCCAGTCTAAGCCCATAATTTAACAGACTGGTCTTCACTTGCAATTATTTTGGCCCTTGAAATCCCCTTGTTTCTGGTCTAAAACTCATTTTTTCCCTCAAGGATTTGATCCACATCCATATCAAACTGGAGCCACTGTCTCCCTGTTGTTGGCCACTTAACCCAGTGTTTTCTGACTGCCTGTTATGGGGTGCTGTTAGAAGCGTGGGGGTTTCACAATTCTTCAAGAGTGGGACTCAACCTTGGTGCTTTCACCTCTTAAAAGGTCCTGGACATGTCCATTGCATCACTTTAGGCAAATCATTCAGCTTTTTGCAGTGAGGTATATCATTGTTGTAAACTGTTTTTTGTCTATCTATTTCAACTAACACAACCCACTTCTTGGAGTACAAACTATGTGATTTCTGAACATGTGATTTCCAGACTCCTGAAGGACTGTGCAGACCAGCTCTGTGAGGTGCTACTGCACATCTTCAGCTTGAGCCAGAGTCTGGAGAGGGTCCCAGCACTGTGGAAGACTTCCTGCGTGATTCCTGTCCCCAAGACAGCACACCCCAGGGAGCCCAACCACTTCAGACCTGTGGCCCTCACTTCTCACCTGATGAAGACGCTGGTGAGGATCGTGCTGAGGAACCTCCGCCTCCTGGTGAGCTCTCATCTGGATCATCAGTTTGCGTACCTGCCAAACATCGGGGTGGACGACGCTGTCATCTACCTGCTGCAGAGGTCCATGGCTCACTTGGAGAACACTGGCAGCACTGTGAGGGTCATGTTTTTTGACTTCTCCAGTGTTTTCAACACCATCCAGCCTTCACTGCTCAGGGGGAAGCTTGAGAGACAGACCACAGTTTGTGAGGCTTCAGAACTGTGTGTCGGACATGGTGGTCTGCAGCACGGGGGCTCCACAGGGGACAGTGCTCTCCCCCTTCCTCTTCACCCTGTACACCTCGGACTTCAACTACAACTCTGGGAGCTGTCACCTCCAGAAGTTCTCTGATGACACAGCCATCGTCGGATAAGCGGAAATACAGGACTGTCATCACTGACTTTGTCAACTGGTGTGGCACAAACCACCTCCAGCTCAACGCCAGTAAGACAAAGGAGATGGTCGTGGATTTCCGCAGGAGGAGGACACTTTAGACTGTTCCAGTGAACATCCAGGGTCTGGACATCGAGATGGTGGAGTCCTACAGATTCCTGGGTGTCCACCTCAACAATAAACTGGACTGGTCAACCAACACAGACGTTCTGTACAAGAAGGGCCAAAGTCGTCTCCACCTGAGGAGACTGAGGTCCTTTGGAGTGTGCAGGACTCTGCTCAGGACTTTCTATGACTCTGTGGTAGCATCTGCACTTTTCTATGCAGTGGTCTGCTGGGGGGCAGGGAGCACCGAGAGGGACAGTAAGAGACTGAACAGACTGGTCAGGAGGGCCAGTTCTGTCCTGGACTGCTCTTTGGACTCCCTGGAGGAGGTGGGTGAGAGGAGGATGTTAGCAAAGCTTGTATCCATCATGGACAATCCCTCTCACCCACTGCACCAGACTGTGGGGGCTTTAAGCAGCTCCTTCAGCAGCAGACTGAGACGACCACCTTGGAAAACGGAGCGCTACCGCAGGCCATTCCTCCCTTCTACAATAAGACTTTACAACGAACTGTAATAAAACTGGACTCACACCACCACTTTTTTCTGGCATTTAAATTGTGTATATAGTATATAGTTTTATTTTTCTCCTCCCCTTTTCCTTTTCCTAATTTTTTTTATTAATTATTACATTTATTTAAGTTCTTAATATTAGGATCTTTATTTTTATAACTGCATTTTTGCACTCTTTGTCTGTGATGCTGCTGTGACAAAAAATTTTTCCCCATGGGGGATCAAAAAAGGAATATTCTATTCTTCTATTCTATCCCGGTGTTCGTCATGACCACACATGTAGCAAGGGGTTAACATGATGGAGTTATCAAGCATATAAAGTGATCCTTAAGTCCTGGTGGATTTAACAATGACAAAAACCGTGTGTGTGTGAGAGAGAGAGAGAGAGAGAGAGAGAGAGAGAGAGAGAGAGAGACAAAACATGTATGTGTGATGACTCACTTCTCAGCTGTGAGGATTACATGTGCTACCCTAAGCTTTAAGCAGAGCTCTTTCAGGGATCTGAGGGGATAAGAATGCCACATGCCTTTATGAAAGTATGAGCTAATTAACTCACCTCTCCCATCTCAACCATCCACACACACCCTGACCTTTTCACACCCTTCTGACCTACACAAATGCTGCAGTGGTTCTGAACGCATGTGTGAACTTAAAAGCACCAATCTGTAGTTATTTCTGTACTTTCCATTTTATGTACCTTGAGGCATCGCTAAAGGCTAAAGCCTCTAGGAACACCAGCAAATCATGCTGTGGAGAATCCCTCCACTGTCTCCCATTAGACTTGTTTTCCCCCTAACCTTACTTTGGTTTCTGCTTTCACCTTACAACTGCAGCTCTGTAAAAACCTTAACCTACATTTTAGCATTTTAAAAACATGGCCTAACCTTCACTCTTTTCTCCACAAAGCATTTGCCATTTTACAAGAGGCATCTAGTTAAGAACATCTGAATAAAACATGACACAAGCAACATTGTAGCACTGGGTGAAAATCCCCTGGAGTACTGGATGTGGAATTCTACTGAAATGTTTCATCAGCCGATGATATGAATATGTCTCACACTTCTGCAAGAGGAATCAGGGTCATGCTGCTGCCAAACTGTGTGGATAAATCCTGGTCAATTTAAGGAATTGCAAGACTCTAGAAATGATAAGAGTTACTTTTAGAGATGAATGATAATGTTTCTTTTTGTTCACTTCAAATTTCCCTCTTGTTCTCTCTCTTAAACTCAATCTGATGCGCACTTTGGGCCTACTTGGCCCGACACATAACATGATTACAATACGATACAATACAGTACAATGCAATAAAAGAACTTAGTTGATCCCCAAAGGGAATTCCATTTGTCTTGAGTCTCATTTTATTCAATTTATAGAAGAATCAAACAGTTTGATGGCTGTGGGTACCTACAAACCAGAATCAGTCTGTGAAGCTAAATTGGGGGTTAATGACAGCCTCAACACCGATAAGCATGTGTCAAAAACAATGGCATGTATGATGACTCAGTGCTGCTGTTTATTGACTCAAAATTGATAGGACAGCTAGCTTAAGTAACCATTGAAACACCCTCTTATGATCTGCTGGGTCCTAAAGCCCACCATATTTTTGTAACTGATGGAACATGGGTCAAACTAAAATATCAAAATACATCTTAAATCATTTTTTTCTCCGACTAGCTATTCGCTCAACAGTTATTTTTAATCATACCAAGAGGTTTTGTACTTAGAAGTCACTTGCTGTGACAAAAAATGAATAAATAAAAAATAAACAAAGATTGCAGCCCTCTAGACAAACTGGCTCCAACAGAGTCCTTCATCAGAACAACAGAACAGAGGGGGGAAGGTGACAGACAGTGTCACAAACACTAAAACAAAAGCACTGAATACTAAATAAACACGATTGTTTGCTTTAAACCACCAACAAGTCTGTTCTGGCATGGGCTGGATGATTTTTGGTACATTAAAGCTCCTGTGATGAGTTTTTGGCTGGTTATGTTATGCACTGAAATGAACACTCATGCCTCCTTACGAACTAAAATGCCAGAAAACCACTAGCAACAAGACAATTTCAAGGTGGAAGTATATAAAGTGTTACTGTACAGATGTTGAAGCATGGTTTTGGATCTTGTGAGTGATCGTGTCAGCTTAAGTCCAGGGAAGATGAGGCATCTTCTCCAGTAAGGATGATATTTTTTGAAGAAAAGATCTGGGTTTGGATTGTTTCAACCCTTATACATTCCACAGCAGGAGTCCAAATCATTATTTATTGTTAGGCAAATAGACAAACAATACCCAGAGATTTTAAAAGGTAAAAGTTCTCCAGAAAAGGAAAGAAGTTGACAAGCTTTCTTTGCACTATAAAGTTTGAGCCTTAGCGTATTCTTCATGTAAACTTAGGAGTGTGTGTGTGTAAATGTCTCTTATTTCCACCTCAGCCCACCAACATAAAACACTATTCCCTACCTGGTGTTCATTGCTGCTATCTAATCCCAGCACTGGGCCTAACAACTATGACAACAAACGCTTGAGCCTCTACAACTGACACTTATGAGCACAGCACTGCTCTTTTGTGGATCTTTTTCTGCTGCTCCTGCAGACTTAATCACGTGCAGCTTTCACCCTGATGTCTTCATTTGGGAGAAATTGTCTTCTGTTCCTTCACCCCTCTTTCATGTTTTTCCTCCATTGATGCTGAGGATCTATGCGGTTAAACTCTATCCTGCTCAGTTTACAGCTGTCAGCTCCAGCGTTTTTCTTTGTTATGAGAAGTAAACAAATGGCTGGCAGATGTCAAACACAATTATACATACTCAGCAAAGTTGGAACAGAGTGGTGATGGATGCTGATGGTCTCCATTGTGGTTTGTCACAGATTCTCCAGAGGTTTAGAGTGTTATTAGCAATATGGGGGGAGTCTGGGAGGTTTTCATGCCCTGTTACATTTATGGCTTTTTCATTGATGTTCACAAGTTTTGGGGTTTGAGATCGGTTTTCTATGTTTAGTAATAGTAAAGCTTGTATTACTTTGGTAACCCTTGTGGCCTCAGAACTTAAACGTTTATCAGCACACATTTAAAGAAAGATCCAAAGCTTCATCAGGCATCATCTGCCCACCACTAATGCGCTTTCAAGAGACTCAAACAAGTCAAACAAATAGGAGCTAATGCACAATGACCTGCTGGTTATGAATCCCTAAAAGGTGAGCAGGACCTGTCTTAAAGGGCTGATTTGGCAAACAGTACAATCAAAATGACAAAAAATTATAAATTTAAAGGTCATTGGCTTGGTTTAGAAATAATTTATGGACACAGTTAAGGAAGTAGCTTAGATGTGAGATGCATTCACTCACTGTAGCTGGACAGGAACAAATATAAAATAATTTGTTTTTATATTTGTTGAGCACACCAACTAAATCATGCTATCAGAAAACAATGTTGTTGCCCCAGTGTCCGCAAGCAGAAGTGAGATGTGTCCTAACATCATATTTTGGACTGAGCTGATACAATATGTATGATCTAGTGCTGCTTTGATTTTCAGAATTGATAACCACTGTTACCCCGAATTTCCACCGCATCCGAAATGACTCAGATCAGGAATGGCAGTGATTTTCGCCATCCGCCAATTTCCTATCGGACTCATTTGTGAGGCAAATTTCGTGGCAGATTACGGACAGCGGGAATTGCGAGAACTCAAAAGAATCCGCGGATTCACGTGCTATTGGGTGATAACGAGTTGTCTCTATAGCCAAATAACCATATAAGCAGTAGATTGTGTCCTTCCAGAGGAGGAAGTCCACTTCTAGACTTCTAGAATCAGCATCTCCTCATCCATGGTGTCATCAGGGTGAAATGCTGTCTAAAAATCTTTCACTTATTCATCTCTGCCTCTCCCTTTGCATGGTGTGAAATACAATCCGCCTGAAATACGGAGTGTTTTATTTTGAAAAGAAGCCGAAAGTTGTTTTTTGTGTCTGTGTCCCACTTCTATTCCAGCACGAGTTAATCTGTGCCCAATTTATCTGGCATGCTCGGCATCCAGAAAAAATAGAACTCTTGTGATCAGCTGCGGAGTCCAGTGATCCGCAGTGGAAAAGAAAGAAGCCAGTGGAAATTGACACATTAACTTGAATGGTCACGATCAGCTTCGATCAGAGGATATGGCCTTTTCATAGCCGTTATGGATGCAGTGGACATTGGGGGTTAGAGAGTTTTAACCAATCAGAATCAAAATATTAGCACAATAGGGTGATTAGTGAGATATCCAGACAAGAAACTAAATTAAAATTGTAAAATTCTCTGAAGCGCCGATATCCCAGCAGTCAAAGAGTGCCCTACATTAAGTGGATATAGTCTTAGTTTCTGTGGGCACTGACTGAACTCTTTACTGAGACCCTTTGCAGTGAGTCTTTCCATACTCTTTGCTCCCTACATTTCCTGTCTATCTTGCGCTGCCTGAAATAAGAAAAGCTTCAAAATGTTTGTTAAAGTAGTAAATAAATAAACGTCTTATAATCAAACTGACCTTGTATCTTTGGTAAAGTGTGAAACAAGACCTTGACTTCACATATTCACGTATTCATGCATACAGACATCCCTTTAACCTTTTATATATTTGCACTACTTAATGCAAACATGCATCCACGCATGATGTGTGCCCATGAGGAACACTCATCAGCATCCATGAAAAGTCTGGGCTGTCGTTGTGCACACAGTCCAATCTGGCAGCATGCTCACCATCTGCTGAGCTCTCAGCAGCTTGTTTGGAGGTTAATAGCTTCACGATCCCTCTATCAGTCTTGCCCATCTTCAAATGGCTAATTCCTCCTCTCTGGCAGCGATTAGTGGGCCCTGTGGTGTTGCCTCCTCTGTCCCTTTTCAGAATCATTCGAGCCATCATCGAGACAACAATCCCACGTTGTTACCGGACATACAATATCAGATCTTGAGTAGATCTTACAAAGCATGCAGCCACAACAAGATGACACATCTGGAGCCGCTGGAGATAAATCGATATCCCATCCTCAGAGGCATGGTGGTTTTGTAACAGGCCCCTTTTTTTTTACAGCCAACAGATCACACTTGAAAAGCTGCTAAATAATGCCTTTTTGTCCTCTGGCTTGCAGCACTGGAGAGCGGCAAGATCTAGTACAACAAGCAAAAATGCATGAGTTTCAGTATTTGTGCATGGATTTATGCTGAAATCAATAGTGTGTGGCTGATGATGTCTCTTGTGGCCTGTTGAGTTTATTACCTGTGTCTGTGTGTGTGTGTGTGTGTGTGTGTGTGTGTGTGTGTGTGTGTGTGTGTGTGTGTGTGTGTGTGTGTGTGTGTGTGTGTGTGTGTAGAAGAGAGAAGATAAAGAGCCTCTACATCACTTAAATGTATGGATACTATAATCTGTCTGCTGCAGTAAAAATAAATAGCCCTTGCATAAAGGGTATGTACTTCTTTTCAAAGGCCTCACAGGCTTTACCATTTGATTTGTAGCACAAGCAATCCACTGTTGGAGTAGATTCCTATGGGGAAACTGATGAGATGCTGAGTGTTAATGTGGTGGCTGCGGGGTTTAAAAGAGTGCAGGCACAGGTAATCTAAAGAGATCAACTTGTGTCAGGGCTGCAGGGACCCCTGCGCTCTCTAGAGGAGGCTGCCAGTTTGACTTAAACTGAACCCTATCCATAACTGACTGATTTTCTTAGAAAAATCTCCTACTGCCTCTCAAATCAAGTTTAAGGGATTTTTTTTTCAGTGTGACTCCTGCATGACCCCCATGAATTTGCATATTACATAGCTGAGAACTGAATATTAAGCGCTTGAGCGAATTACTGTCTCTCAGTTGATATTCCCTATGCAGCTTGAGGTAGCGAGCAAATGGACGGGCGGGCATTTAAAACCCTTTTTGAAGATAATGTGATTTTTTCATTTTCCCGATAAGGATGTGTCATGGAATGTTTCATTATTTTGGACACTAAGCAATTTTTTTTCTTCTCCTTCCTAACCTACTGAGAGGAACAAAAATTAATCCAGCATCATATTATTGCTGGTTCAGATGAGGAAAAGACGGCGGGGGGAGTTCTGCGCCTGATGATTGCTGTCTGATCGTCTTCAGGGATCTGCTCCGATTTCCAACGATGCTAACAGACGTCAAAGCTCTCAGGCTCCGGGCCGTGAGATGACATGCTTTCACACCAGTGGTACAGTATTCACTTCTGTGTCAGAAGACGAGGCACAGTCTTGTGAATTACCCACATTCCATAATGCATTCTGCCATGACTTGATGATTTCCTGTGATCTCAGCATTTGGGGGG